ATCATAAAATTGAGATTTGTTTAGGTAATATTATTAGTTTCATCTCTGGGGTAATATAATTTTTTAGGTTTTTTGGAGATATATGGCAAACTGACATTTGCAATCATAAGAATATGAAAAATTATATCAAATTTATAAATCATATATTTGGTTTGTCTTTTTGTATATATAATAAAGCTTTTTGTTCATATATATGTAAATATATGTTAACGGCTAAGTCAAATTAGATTGAAATACAAAAATTTTCAAACAAATAGAGAGTTAATTTGTGTATATTTTTTTCATCTAGTTTATATAAAGTAGAGATGTACATAGTAGACAGTATAACGCTATAATACTTAATTGCAAACATTGTTTTAACCTAGATACAAATTAATTATATCCTGCATATATATATATATAAGAAACCATGTATTCCTTAGGGGGGCAAAATTAGAACGGCAGTTCTAGGGCGGTACATATTTAATTACTAACACAGGAGGGAAGGTGCCCAAGGATATATTGGTTTTGGGTTTTCCGATAACGAGGCACAAGGAATTAATAAAAACAAACAAACACCTTAATATACAGCTTTTGGGACACATAAAGACAAGATCCGTTGAAAAATAAGAGAAGACAAAAATCAGCTTTTTATGTTTTGTTTTTGCAAAATATTTTTTGGTTTGAATATTTTGGGGCTACAATAAAAATAGATTCAGAGCTGTTCTAAAGAGGTGCGTAATCAGGATTTTAGCCATGAGGAGGGGGGGGGGGGACAAACAAACATCCAGCTAATATACAGTTTTTGTCGCATATAACATAACAGCTAGGATTCTCAGAAAGAGAATGAAACAAAAATCTAAATTTTAGCTTAATCCCACTTTCGGAGTTTGATTTCAATTTACCAATAATTTCTGGCCTTAACAAACTCTATTGAATAAAAGGCTTCCTTTCCTACCTTGCAGTCATCATCTCAAAATGTAAACAATTTACAGTAAACTAATAAGTTGTTTAGGAGAATGGTTGAGAAAGTAAGAATTAATCTTATCATCGAAAATAAGTAATCTTGATCAATTATTAGTTTCTATTTTCTCATTATTCTGGTTTCTCATTATTCACAAAGAATTTCTGCAGATGTTTTAGAATATTATTGAAAAGACGAGATTTGAAAATTTTTTAAAAAATCTGCGAATAAATTTTAAAAAAAGAAGAAATTCAATGTAGTGATGAAAACAAAATAATTCATTCTAGCATTGGTTTATTGACAAATTTCTTTTAAGAAATATGTTCCTAACCATCTAATTAGATTACTGTATCATTTTTACTTTATTTTTCGTCGTCTTTATTTAATAATTAAAAAGAAACTAATTCCAAAAACGTATCCACCCCCAAAGTAGAAGTTTTGAACGTCGAATTTGCGCTCAAACTCAGGATTTACAGATCTTTAAAAAGTTTAATATGTCTCAAATGAACCCGAAAGAAGTTTTCCACAACATTGCATACTCAGTTCGACTACCTTACATAGCCGGTCACTTAAAGTTGATGAATCTAATGATGGGCGAAGCGCCAAAAAAATTTGTTTATAAGGGGGGGGGGGTAGTTACCCCCAATAATCCCCCCTACCTACGCCTATGTTTGGGACATTTTATAGAAAGACATTTTACAGATGGACATTTCATAGACGTAGAAAAATAAATTTCTAGATAGGACATTTTATAGACAGAGCAGATTTTAATGTAGAAAAGTAATTTCATTGGCAGAGAAAAATTCCCAGTCCCTTTAAAATTCAGAAAAGTTAGCTGAAAAGCAATGGTTATGGATGTCGTCATCCACAATTTTACTTTTTTAGCTAACAACCTTTCAGAGATATATTGCATACAAAATTACAGAGGATATTAAAACCTTTCTTCAGATATCTACTTATTCAGGATAAAACTATAATAACGGCCCACAAATCATTAAATATGACCATGTCAAAGGTTTAAATTGGCACACTTCATTGAATTTTAAATTTTTTTATAGATACAGGGTGTCTGGCACAAAACATGACAGTTGGTATATAGTTTTGAATGTCTTCGTGACTTCGTCCATATACTGTATCAGATAGTAAATGCATTTTGTAGTTTATTTCGCAAAAAATCTCTTCTCTTTCTTGAATAATATTTTATTTTGAAATTAATTTTGCTATAATGACTGCCGTATTATATTTTATTCTCTTTGGTATCAAATAACTTTAAAAAATATTGAAGAAGACATTTAAAACTATTCACCAACTGTCCTGTTGGTGAATAGTTTCCTATTTCCTTATAAGTACAGATTCTAAAGTAACCTTGAATTTATTTAACATCTAAAATCTTTGTCATTTTATAACAAAAAAAATTAAAAAATTAACAGTCATTTTAATTATTTGTCATTATTTAGCTATCGAGGATTATAAGTACGATTTCATTGTCTCTCAATTAAAGATTGATGACAAAAAAACATTTGTTAAATATTAAAAATATACGCTATAGTTGGTGTTTAGGATTCAGGAAAAGATGTAATCAATAAAAAAATAAATAAAATAATAAGTCTAGATTAAATTTTCGATTAATAGAGAACCATAGTGGAATAGGACGACGACATAAAAGCTACAGTGAAACCCTTAATAAAGAATACATCGAAAGAATTCATCAAATGTCGTATTCTTCACTTTCTGATAATGGAATGTTGCAGATATTTAGTTTTTTAATTAAATGATTATATGGAACTCTTTAAAACTGTTCCCGCATATTCATGGCTATTTATTTATTTTCGCAAAAACTGAAATTTACGTAATATAGTATAAAACTCATCGAAAAATTGTAAAGACGACATTTGATAAGTTCTTCCAATGTATTCGTTATTAAGGGTTTCACTGTATAAATATGTTTATTTAATGTTGTTACAAAGCAAAAATTTATACTTAGATATAGGCAGGGTTTTTTCTTCATTTAGTTCGTTCATCGTTCGTGAACAACCCATTTCGTAATTTTTTTTCCATTGTTAAAAAAAATATTTCGTTCGTTCTCAAATTTATCGTCCATTTTTCATTTATTTCGTTTGTTTTCTCAGCGAACGATTGCTTTGTAAATATGATCGTTCAGTAAAATCGTTCTCTCAGTAAAAAAAAACTATCGTTTTTTGAAAAGTTTGTTCCAAAAAATCGTCCGCTTAGTAAAAAACTATAGTTTTTTCAATTTCGTTTGAACGATTTCAAATCGTTCGTTTTTGTTGTTTTCTTTCGTTTTTTAAACAGGCGCGTGTGGGATAAGGGGGGCGGATCAGCACTGCTTTAAGATTCAAAATCAGTTCCGTACTGGAAGTTCAACCCTTTAGTCATTAGTTTTCAGACTTCCAGTGCTGCTTTGCGGCTACAGAAATTCTTTTCAAATCGGTAATATGTATTTTACACTCAGACATATTACTCTATAAAAAAATATATTTCCATTTCCATTGGCATTACATAATTTCTAATTACAATTTTACATATTCTTTAGGATTTAGATATTAACTGCAAAAGATTGTTCAGGGTATTTTTTCATGTGACTAATTAAGTTACAAGTTACACCAAAGGATGCTATTTCAAGATGGTAGAGTTTTAATCTGTTCTTAACTCCTTTTCTATGTGGTTAACCCTGTAGGCGGAGATATAGCGATGGGCAATTGCTCGATTCTTTTTACAGAAACTTTTAATGCTTTTCGACTTTTAAAGATTTATGGGTTCAACGATTTGAAATTGTCTTCTGTAGAAGTTTACTATTATCAAACATGCAAATTTGTTATCCTAGGTGAAAACATAAGACAAAAACGAACTAAAACGATCGTTTAAAAAACCCAAAAACTGTCGTTTTTGCCTTATATTTGCATGTTTGGTAAACTTCTACAGAATAAAGTTTTAAAATGTTGGAAGTTGGAACCTCATATTGCCGTAATACCTTTTAAAAGTCTAAAAGCATTAAAAAATTCTTTAAAATGAATATGGATATTGCCCATCCCTATTGAAATTTAAAAAAAATAAACTATTTATATGTAAACTACTAAATAAACATGAGGATTAAAAGTAAAGTTTGCAAAGTTGTATAAAGATATATCTATTCTTCCAGAATAAAGAAAGCCTGTCAACTTTGCTATGTATTTTTAAATTTTTTTTTTTTTTGTTAAATGAAGATAAATGAACCCTGAACCTGTTGAATATATTTAATTCAATTTTACGGGGATTTTTGTCTATCAAAGCTTTTAACACTTTGTGGGTTTTACGGTCTCTAAGATGTCTCTATTAATGTTCATCGTTTATTCTGGCTTGTTGCTAAAGCATATTAAAGTATCTGCTGGAAAACAAGTTACAGTAAACTTTTGGGTTAGTCTCCAGAAAAGGGGGGGGGGGGGTCAAAAGATACTCTTGAACCCCCCTTTTTCTCAAAAGTGGGGGTCGTCGACCCCTTCACCCCCCAGGATCTGCGCTTGGTGAAATGGGTCACTGATTCAAAAGTTGAAAGCTCTCACGCAAAGATCTATGAGAATTTTGCCAATTACTTCTTAAATACTAAAGCTAAAAACAAGAAAAGAGCTTTAGAGTTCCAAGATTTACAAGTTTATGCATTGCTAAAGAAATCTAAGTGAGATAATGCGATAAAACTTCAAAGTCACCCAAGTCTTGAAAATTGAAGCAATTTTTTATAGCAAGAGAGATCAATGTCGGGTCTGTTTACACTTAACAATTGACTTTTGGACTATTTAAAGTGATAACACAAGTCCAAATATCATTGATAAAGAAATATTTCAACATTTATTTCAGTCAATAAGGTTAGATACACAGTGTAGGTAAGGGGTTACACTAACAATATTAAATATGAATTCTGATTAGAAGTCTGTCCCAGATTTTTTTTAATAAAAAGAAACTCTAATGCCAATTATTCTTGTGTACAAATAGTGGACACATATTTTTTATCCCGGGTCACGTGACTAATCAAGTTATGGCATCTGAAGTGAAAAAAGGTGTAGAAGGGGGGTTGGTGTTTGCAGGTTTTTAGGAAATAAGGCAAAAATTTAAATGTAAGTGAAGAGGACATAAAACATATCATTTCTTTGTTGATTAAACAATAAATAATTAGTTATGTTACAAAAGCGATCATACAAACATTAACGTTTACTATATAATCAGGTTAAACTTAAAGAATAATCAGGTTTGATTAATAATTAATAATTAATAATTAACTACTTTACTCATTTAACTGTTCAATAATTAATCTGTTTTTTTCTTCATGAATACAGTAAAATAGGAGAATAATCAGTTTTAAACTTTTTAATCTTCTATGAGGTTTAGTACAAAAACGAGGATTTTTATTTGTGTAAAATAATGTTGTTCATAAATATGTATAAAATTTATATTTTATATTGAAAATTTATGGAAGAGGAAGTGAATTCAAATCAGTTTTTATTTCATTCGCAAGCTCTTTTACAGAAAAGGTTCAAATCCAGGAGAGAAATACATAAACGTAAATGATTCAAGAGTTATAAAAAACAATACTTTTAAAACTATTCAGGGATTGTTTAATCCTTATTTTTTTACTTTTACTGTTGTTGATACCCTTTAAATGTAAAAAATCTTTTAAATTGGATCTAAATATTAATATGTGTTGACCTAAACTTCGTTCTAACGTGAGATTTTTTGAAAAATGGCTTAAACTGTAGCCACAGCCTACAGGTACTTTTAGAATATTTAACTGACAAAATTAAAACTTAACATCTGTTGAATAATGTCAAAATGAATATTAAAAAAATAATCAAGAAAAGATTATTCCTATTAAAAATGTGATTTTAAAAAAAGGTTTGGAAGGTTGATATTGAATGATCCTCTAGTTGTGAACAAAGCACCTGGAGATGAACCTCTATATATGGGTTTCAATATCTGTTTGAACCTAAAAATAGAAAAAGTGAAAGAATTAAAAAGAAATATTTTCAACAAAAGAAAAATGAATATAATTTTATTTAGAATTGAAAGATTTGAAGATGAAAGATGTTGATCTATTTGATACTTTTGATATTTATTCTTCTGATGTTTCATGCTTAACAAGCAACATGCAACAACACACCATTCAAACATTGTTGTGTTTGATAATATGCACAGCTTAACATTTCTAAATCCTATAGATAAAACAAAATATTTTTTCTTCTTTATATATCAAATCACAATTAATTCAAGGTGTTTTTTAAGAAAATGAACTGTTACTTCTCTGTCAATTAAGAAATTAAATTAAACAACATATTTAATGCGGAAATTATTAGAATTATTAGATTTTGAAAATTACAAATATTATCACGTGATTAAAATAAACATTTTAATCGGATGAAGACTTATAGCATAAAAATAGCGTAAAATCTTATTTTATTTTATGACAAAGGAATTGAGTTTTTGCCACAAACCAAAATTTTTTATCCCTATATCTTTGCAACCTGATGGGGTAAACCTTTGATATTTCAAACTTAGACTTTTTGATGTAATAGAATTTAGAGTTTGAAATATCGATGGTGCAAAACATCAGGTTTCAGAGATATAGGGATTAGAAAACCAGAGGTTGTGGCAAAAACTCAATTCCTTTAAGGATTTCGTAAAATCGTCAGGCTTGTTCAAAGTTAAAAAGTAGATTTTTATTTCTAATATATTGATATGTAAACTTTACATTATGAAGTTTACTGATTGAAACTATGGAATATTGGAATAAAAAGTAGATTAAAATGAATTAAAAATCTAGTTTATACACATGCAGTCTTGCTACATGCATTGATCTAACCCAAAACCGAGCTAGTTTCTGTGTCCATGAAATGTTCATGTATAGACGGGTAGACGCTGTCAGTGTCCAAGCAATGTCCAAAATCCTTTGCTCCTTCATGTCACGTGCTATGTTTATGTTTACCTTTGTAAACCTGACTAGATTGAAAGGTTCGGGTAACATGATTCCGAACCGATTTAGAACCGGGGTCTTTTTCTATAGTTATACTTCTCTCCTCCTCATCTATATACTTGGAGGGTCTAAAGTTATTCCTAGAGCTCTGGTATTCCTGATCTCGTGTAGCTGTTCGGTATTCCTGATCCCGAGACGTTATCCGGTATTCTTGATCACGAGGAGTTGATCGGTATTCTTGATCCCGAGGAGTTGATCGGTATTCTTGATCCCGAGGAATTCTTCGGTAATCTTGGCTTCGCGAAGATGTTCGGTATTCTTGATCCCTAGGAGTTGTTTGGTGGTCGTGATCCCTAGAAGTTCGATAGTCTTGCTGATCACGAGAATATGTTCTATACTCGTGGCTCTTGGTAGTGGTTCGATAGTCCTGGCTCAATCTTTTTTCATGTTCACCGCTAATTTTGGTTTCTCTTATCTGTTCATATTGTCTTTTTATATCGGAGAGAACAGGGCGGGACTCTTTAGGTTCGTGTTCCCGATTCACTTGTCGAGAACTTCGAGACTCATTATCCCGATGAACTCGGGATTCATTACCCCGACGCCCCTTGTACTCTTGATTTTCGTGATCCTTGATAACCCGAAACGTATTTGACTCTAATGGATCTCTATCAATACGAATAGTTCGGATTGGTGTACTTTCTCCAGGTTCAGGTATTATTTCGCAAAGGAACGGAGACCCTGAAAAATTTACTAGTATTATTACAGGGATTCCTCAGCCCATGAGACTATTCGATTCACCCAAAATAAACTAATTGAAAGAGTAAAAAAAGAAAAAGAATTTCTACATTTCTTTGTTATTTTTATAAATAAAGTAGTAATCGCTGTTAGTTTCCATGTTTGGATGTCCGATCAGAACTTATGAATCCCACGACCAAACTGTGGTACTCGGTAAAACCACAGGAATGTTTTTAGCTTGGTTTAAATATTCTAAATTGAGTGGATCCGTCTTAATGAAGAAAATTTAGTCTCCAGGCAAAGCTGGGTTCCAGATACTTATTTTTATTTTATTTGAAGTTTTTGCAAAAATATTGATAAATATCAGCAATAGTTATCATGGTCAAGGTGGTAAAACAAGTAAAACCCAAGCAAAAAAATTAAGATTTTTAAAAATAGAAAAATAGAATCTTCAAAAATAGTCTTTTTCTTACCAGAAACTGGTTCCTCGTTGAATGTGACAAATACTTGATGGTCTGAGCTGAGTTTAGGAACGAAGGAAACCTCAAACCTCGCAGATCCTAGTGGTTGGACCCTGGTTGGGATATTTGATTGTTCAGCAGATACAAGGATTTCAAGATTCCCTTCTCCGGCTTCGCTAGCATCCACTGCAGTACATTAGATCATGCAGAGAGAGGGGGGAGGAGCTTAAGATTAATTTTACGCTCATTCCTCCCCAAAATTCAAAATTTTCAAAATTAATTTTTGATCTAATTAATTATCGTTAATTCGTTGATTAATGACATGCCATGTTAACTAAAGAAAAAATAAAATATTGAAAAATCATTATTTTAGATCCTTTCGAAATGAAACAAATTAAAATAAAACAGTTTTGATATTATTAGTTTTAGTTATTTTGTTGCTTATTAATATAATGGTTACTAAGGTTACCAATCAAGGTTAAAATCTGGGGATTAAAGTGTTAATATTCTACCTGCGAATGTGACAGTTTTACCAACGGTTCCTCTGGGTATATCAGAGACGCCAACTCCCTCAGCATCATACGCCTTAGAGTAGAAAGGAGTTCCCCCCACAGCTACTCCGTTGTACTCCACCAGTACCACATGCAACCCAACAGAGTTGGGGATAAACTGCGCAACGAATCCGTTCTTGACGTTTCCGGTCACTTTTACCGGGATATCTTCAACTGGTCCCTGGACAGATACAGCAAGCTCGGCATCCGCACCCTCAGGTACCCTACAATATGCACAGAATACAATACATAGGACACAATACACAGTGCACTATAAGCAGTACACTAATTATAATACACAATACATAATATGAAATAAACAAGACACAATACACAATGTACAATACTCAGCTTGCCGCAACTAGCACTTTTGTCAAAAAAAAAATTCAAAAAGAAAGCGCTGTTTTCAGGATTTGAAGTAAAAACAACCTTTTTAATTGTTGAAGGGTTGGCTCTGTGCTCAATAATATACCAAATTCTTTTAATATGCATGGCTTGTTCTTGTAATACTTACAACAGCTTTAACTAATGAACGACATGATTAAATTAATCAAACATGTGAACGAAGCGCTAAAAAACTCCTTTTCTTCTGGTGTCTTTTCATTGATTTCTTAGTGTTTGTTAGGCTCTGGCTTAGTCATATTCACAATGTATATAAAGTCACCTATTACAGTCTGCAGTTTTTTGTAATTTATCCACTGGTCATATTTGTTCACTAAATAGCTCCGTAATCATAAGGTCTATTCGAGGGAGGGAAGGCGCACACGCCTTTTCTTCGTCCGACCACAAATGACGTCGCAATTCACCATATCATATTAATCTAATCAAGGGAGACTTATTTTTTATTTCCTGCTATTATTCTTAAATCATGCTAATTTTTCTTGCAGGAGACTGCAAGTAGTTTCTAAGTTTATTTTTAGAGTTAGAAATAACCAAAAGAAGACTGAAAACGTAAATAAAGGAATTTTTGTTCAAAATAAGTAATAATAAAAATATCCTCTTTTATTCCAATCTACAATAAGTTAGTTTTCTTGGGCCGCTTGAAATAATAGGCATTTAAAACACTGATGTCCCAGGTTGACCAACCTGTCGGTGGTAATAGATGACCTATTCAATTAGAGCATTGAGCAATATTTACATCACAAAGTTTAAGAGGTCGATGAAAATTTGATAAGCATATTCCAGCCTGATATGCCGAGAACTTTGGTTTTCACGGATGTAATTTATGGAGGAGGATATAAATATGTTTATTTTACCATATTGTCACTTTCAAGTAAACTTTATTATTTATTTATATACATAAATAAAAAATATAATTNTTCACTTAGGGCGGGACAATGGACAGCCCCCCCGCCGGAACCATTCTTGCTTATGAAGGTACAAAAGGTGAAAATTATTCATGGAAATTTTTTTTCATAATACCTCGAGCAAATCAAAACCACTTGCTATGCTTCTAATCAAAAATATGTTATTTTGTAGTTGTAAATTCTAAAAATCCCAGCGACTTTCACCGAAAAGTTGCAGTTTAGTAGTAAAATAAGAAAATAACCGGATAGTGTGTGGTCCGGACGAAAAATAGGTATTTTCCGTTTTGTGCTAAATTGTGCTTAAATATCATGTTTTTTTTTTCAAAGAAATGCATTTTACAAAAAATCAAATCATATTTAATAACGACGTTTCCTAAATTTGAAAAAAAAAGTGTTCTGGGACATAATAATATTCATCTGAAAACAAAAAAGCAACGCCCAGGTCGAAACAAAGGTGTAGTCGGAAGAAATAATGGTGAATTGTGGGGTGCAGACGAAAAAATGGTGTGGTGCGCCTTCCCCTGCTCTCTGTGCAGTCCTAAGGAGCACTTGTTCGTCTGTCCATAATCCATAATAATAAAAGTCTTTTTTGATCGAAGTCCCTCTGTCCTTGTTTGCCAGTAATTGGGGCTTATCCCTGTTTTCCTCTTATAGTCTGCAAAAGTCCTAATAGCCCAATATAATCCTTATTATATTTCTTGTTATTCTTCTTAGGTTGTCAGGTTTTGTGAAACCTTAAATGATATATGTCTATGCTCATGAGAAGTCATATATATATATAGTTTTTTTTTGAGAGGATAAATAAAGAATGACTGACTGAAAACGAGAAACTAGTTAGAAAATTTGGTATTTTTTTCTTAATTGGCAAAATTAGATAAAAGATGGTCCAGAGTCATGATCATGCTGGGGCCAAGTGAGGGGGGGGGCAAGAGGGGGCGAAATAAGCTGAGGGGGTCCCCCCTAGTTGCGCCACTGCAGACAATACTCTTAACTCTAAGCACCATACACCCATCAAAGTTATTAAATCACAAAGTTTGTTAAAAATCTTACCTTGAAAATTGTTTCTAATTATTTAAAACAATTCTGTAAAAATTCGATGCTGCGTTTATTGAAATATCGAAGATTTTACCTGATAGTGAACTCAGCAGGTTGACCTACAGCTACTAATCCTAGATGATCAAGCTCAACTGTAACTCTTGAATATCCTCCACTACTTCCACCATAGCTTCCTTCCTCTTCATCCTAGATTAGGAAAGGATTTAGATTTTATTGAAAAATTCTGAGACTATAATTTGATGATCTAGGACGAATGGTACAATTCTTAATGATTTTGCGTACATAAGCTATCTATGTTTATTTATTTATCTATGCCCCCCCCCCCCCTGGATCAGTGAATAATTTGGTTTCCAGGTTTTATAGTGGCTCCAATTGTGCTGAGACCCTGGATTATCAAAGATTATCAAAATAGTTATTGTTGTTTTTCCAGTTAATTCAAAAAACAAACTGTTGAAACAAGGGGGTCAAAATTTTCGTTGGTGACCTAGAATATCCCAAGGTATGTATTTTGGCCGGTCAGGATTGAAAATCAGTTAAAAAAATGGCACTTGCTTTTATTTTAATCTTAATAATTAATAATTAATAATTAATGATTTACATTAATTAATAATAGTTAATAATTAATGATGTTCGTAGAAAAGTGGGTTTAAAAGAAGCGGAAATAAACTTGTATTCAAATTTATGAGAGACATAAGATACATACCTTAATCCTGCATAGGAAGGGTGAACCTGGAACCTGGTCATTGTTAAACATAACCTCAATCTCGTGTGTGATTGCTTGGTCTGGAGTAAAGGTTACTAAACACTTCCCTCCTCCCAGAACCTGGAGTAGTACAATATTATAGGTTTTAAAGGGTTTAATCTAAAATAGTTGATTTAGGACCAGATTTAATGAATAAAAAAAGTAGTTGAACTGCATAGACGTAGTTAAACCAATATTCATAAAATTAAACCAGCGCACAAGAGAAGTGTGTCAACTGCGTCTTAGCGGTTTGACTTCTTTTAGATATTAATTAAATTTGATACATGTCTTAGTATAAAAAAGTTTTTTTTTGTTTTTGAGGATTTAACAAAAATATTAAATACAAGGGAATAAGTAGAGTCTGCGACAATGTTTTGAAAACATATAATTATTAAAAAATCAGAGTTTGCGGGAAAGACTCAATTCCTTAAAAAGTAATGTATGTATACCTGAACTGCATTGGGTACATCTCCATCATTTATAGAGATCTCCAGTTGTCCTTCATACAAGAATATAATCAAAGAGAATAGAATATATATTAGAGGGGAATTTTCTAGAAAAAAATGTAAAACGGCCATTTTGTTGTACTGTTTCCATACTGCAGGTGTACTTCACATATTTATGCTATATAACTTTTTGGGCCCTGGAATTCCCCTCTAATATATATTCTATTCTCTTTGATTATATTCTTGTGTATTCCTCTAAACTACTTGTATATTCTAGTGGAGAAAATCTAAAATTAATGTTAAAAGAAAACCAAATTATGAAATAGGCTGGTTTCATAATTGACCAATGATCATTTCACGTAGACTCTATGCCTTTCACTTTACTAACGATGATTTTCCGTTATAACTATAAATCAAATGATGGTTTTTATTCACCTAATTCATTATAAAGTTTATGTAACAGCTTTAAAAATTTCGAAATTGAAATGAATAGTCTAGAGAACATACTGTATTAATGTACTTTACTGCATATAATTTGAAAACATTTACATGATTCGTACACTTTGAACTCCCTTTCAGGCTGAAAGGGACTGAAAAAATACATACCGAGAGATTCTTTAAATTCCTCTCTAATATATATTCTATTCTCTATGAATATAATACTAGTTTAATGGCATGCACTAGAATATGATATTAAAGAGACATCTAATGGTAAATAGGAATAAAAAATGTTTATTTTAAGAGTTTGTATTAGATTAAATATGAAAAGGCTTGATAAAGATATTAAAATAATGATATTTACAAGTTTACTAAATTAATAGGTAACATTATCTGAGTAGGTCATGATCTTGGAATTATGTTTGTGAATATTTTGAAGTTTATGAACTCTCGTAAATATACATTATATCCATGATATTCACATTTATATATTTTATGGAGAATCTTGAGATCTCTTGAACCATTCTATTGTGTAAATCAATAAAAAAGTTCCTTCTACTGAATAAATGTTAATATGACCTAATATTACCTCTGAAAGTGCTGAGATCTCCTATGATTCCATCAGTTATATCTGTCACCTTGATTAGTGTGGCATCATATGCCTTTGCAATCAAAGGACTGTTCGGTACAGATAAACCTTAAAAAAGAAATTGTTAATTATTTGAGAACAAATCATATTTCTACAATAGGTTGGTCCGTATTATGTTGTTTGTTCGATCCAATGATATACATATGATATAAGATGCAAGTAGAACACATATTATTTTTCCATATATATGATATATAGATGAGTATTAAAGAAAAACCACTCGAACCGGATCTCAGACATGCCTGGCGTGACAGTGCAACCGTGCTCAGAGAGAAAATTAGTTTCTGTTCAGTCTTTCTTATAAGATCCGTTGCTAAAGATAGATGAAAATATTCTGCATACAATTTGTGATGTGTATTAAGTTGGTTTATTTTTTTGTCTAAATTTTCTTTCAGGGTCAAAATTTGGCATAGTGTAAAAAATGTGTTTCAATTGTTTATTCGTAACATTTGCTTCTCTGAAATGCTTTTAATGAAAGCAAAATCTAACAGAATTCAAAATAAAATATAAAAGAACTCACTGACCTGCTACTGTAACGTCAATGACATAACTGCCCACTTCTACAGTTGTAAACTCTATCCTAAACACTCCGTTTCCAGAGTCAACAACCTTGTGGGGTATATGTCGCTTCTCAGGACCTAGAATTAAAATGTCATTAGTAAAAAACATCGAAACATTTTCTTCAAAAAAGGGTAATTTTCTGAGCACCTTTTCATCGTCAAGTGTTTCCCAGTCTAATAAATGTATGTTAAACAATAAAACGGACTCGGTTAACCTGTTGCTAAACTACCTCATACTCGATAAAATATCTGATTCTCAAATATCCTAAACAATCCCAATAATTGTGTAATGTATTGACCAGGAATGTAAATTTAGGATTGTTTCCGTCTTGTTCTCCAGGGTCACGGACGCAAGTACCTGATTTATCACTCAGTGACCAGGGATTGGAACTTTTGACCCATATCTTACTATTTCCTCATGAACATTCTTATTTACAATTTTTCCATTCTTCTGATTTTCCCAAGAAAAGGGTGGTCAGGAAAAAACAAAAGGCGTGGTTTGGTAACTTGGCAAGCAGAAATTAAATCATAACTCGGGCTCCTAAAATTGGGCAGAAAACAAGAGGCGGGCGCTGGGTCTGAGGTAAATAGAAACGAAAAATAATCATGTGTTACGAACGTGAGATTGGAAATAAGCATAGGACAGGTACTTGCATTATTGCATAGGATACATACAAATATACATATACCCCCCCAAAAAAAAACTTAAAAGGAAATTTGTTCTTACACATTCACAGTTTCCTGCATCTATAAGCTTGTTTCTTTCTTTGCCAAATTAGTCCGTTTATCCGTTAAAAGCTGCTTTTAAGGCATATTGACAAAGTCAATGTTCGGATTTTCACATTCCAAGAGTTTCAAATCTCATTCTTTGTTGTTAACCCTGTATATATGTAAGAGGTAAGGCAGGAAAAATTGGAAAAACGGCACAGGCAGACAGGCATGCGCTGAAAGAAGAAAAAATGAGCTGGTATAAAAACGTAATGTTTAATGCATACATTTAGCACTGTTTTGCGATAAAATTAACCTCGATTTTAAACCCTATTCTATGACTCGACGAAATAAACTATGATTTGCAAACAATCCCTTTTGTAAAGAGTAATATGTATTTTTATTTGAACTCAGTTTGGTACATAGATGATTATTCCTAGTATAACCTCTGTAACAAAGTGCAGGGGGTAGAGGGCGAATAATCGTTCCTTAATCTCGACCTTTACTGCATTAATCATCATACTGTGAACCTGCACTCTACTCCCTTAAACGAATAACTGCCGTTTTTGGAAATATGTTGAGAAGAATTAAATTTAATATTTAAAATACAATATATCATATATATCACATGCAGCAGTCAATAAACATGAGAAAAGGAAGCAATATAAGGACGTCTTAATATAAGGGGTATTTATTCATAAGCAGGATTATAAAAAAAAGGGTGGAGGTGTTTAAAAATGGCGAATCATGTTTTTTTAACTAATAGAATAAAATAAATGAGAATTAGCTGGACTCCCTTTACTTGTTTCCTGTATTATGAGATTGGCGTTCAGGAAGGGGCCTTGAGTAGAATTCTGAATCGTGTATGATAAGGTGTTTTTTGACACACCCTAAGTATACATAAATCTAACAATACAGAAGTATAAATCTATCTATCTATCTATGTACATATATCTGTTTACTGGATGACTGGTGAGTGGATTGAATATGTGTGCTAGAGCGTGTATACATATTTAATACATCATAAATATTCTTAAGTATATTATGCAAATCTATCAACTTGTCTAGCAGACATAATAAACCAGGCGCCATGTCAACCATCTTAAATTAAAAGAGGATATATGGCCTCCTCGTATTCACACTACTGTCTCTCTTTAAGTATTTTCCAATAAAGAAATTGAGTCTTTGCCACTCATATTTTTTAATCCCTATGTCTTTGCAACCTTATGGTGTTAACCTAAGTTTATTTAATCTTTCAGAATTAGTAGTTTGATTATCTAAGGTCTAAGACACTGGGTTGCAAATAATAAAGATGTAGAGATTAGATAGTCAGAGCTTGTGACATTCTCCTTAAAGTGTGTCCCACTAAGGTAACAATTGTATTTATTTATCTATTGCTCCTCACCCCCCTAATATCCCTACCCCCCCCCCCCTTCTCAAATATGTCCCCAAGAAGTCAAAGATATATAAAATGAACTGGTGACAGAATTGTAGATTTAAATATTGATATATTATCTGTTGATAGTTCTGATATTAAAACTAAATTGAAATGTCATAATACAGGATCAATCTGTATACTATACTCCAACCCTCCAGCAGTAGAGTAAAGGGGCATTGTTAGGATGGGGGGGGGGGGATTTAGGTATCAAGTATTTTGAAACCCAACCACATTAGAACAAAAAAGAAACACGAGGATTATTTGCAGCCAGAAGATATTTTTGAGTTGAAGTTGTAAATATTACTGGTAAGCTTCTGAATGTTGGATGGGGGGGGGGGGCAGGCATATCCTTGACATGTGGTTTAATGTAGGAAAAGCAGGATAGAAAAAAATTGCATTTTTTAATAAAATGTATTAAAAAATATGAATAAAAAGAATATCAAAACCTTTATATTTTGTAAAAAGTAAAAACTATTTAAAGGGATTGACCGGCAATGTATGGTAGTTAAACTGAGAATGTGTATTGAAGAGAGATTTTTTAGGATTCATTTGGCACATATAAAACGTTTCAATGATGTATGATTACTGAGTCTGAGCGCAAAATCGACGTTGAAAATCATTCATTTGGATTGTTACGTTTAAGAATCGATTTTTTGAAAATTATTCAATAACGACGACGAAAAATGTAACAAAAATTCTACAGTGTTTAGAAACAATAATTAATCTTATTGAGATATGGTAATTGTCTTATTGTTCACAAATATTTTCTGTACTTATAAAGTAAAAGAAATTCAATATAAAGATGAAAAAGAAAGAATTGATTCTAACATTGATTTATTAACAAATTTCTATCGAGAAATATGTTCCTAAACATTTAATTAGTTTAGTGCAGAATTTTTGTTACATTTTGCTTCGTAGAATAATTTATAAAAATCCGATTCTCAAAATCACTACTACCCACTACCCAGTACCTACTACCCACTAACCACTACCCACTTCCCACTACCCACTACCCACTACCCACTACCCACTACCCACTACCCACTACCCATTACCCACTACCTACTACCTACTACCAACTACCTACTACCTACTACCTACTACCTACTACCTACTACCTACTACCTACTACCTACTACCTACTACCTACTACCTACTACCTACTAACCACTTTGAACCTATAACTACACAGTACTTAAAGCATTAGGTTTAGTTCCCAATCTACCCAATACCGCTAGGCAATTATTCCAGTTCATTAAAGAGACGCTCATTAGATACACAATTATTGCTGGGGGATTTCCTTATCAATTTAAATCAGTAAGCAGAAACAATATGCATCCTGCATTTTTCGTCAACGTCAACAATTATTAGTTCCTAAAATTTTTCTGAAATGCAAACCTGTATGATGATGTATATTCAAAACAATGAACTTAAATAATCGTTTAAAAAATAATGAAAATCTTCTAGTTTTGGAAATATTTCTATAGAGAACTATTCTATTGTGTTCGCAGATTGGAGACAGTAATCTTTCCCTATATAGATTATTTACACAGTACTATCTATATATAAATTTGGTTTGTTTGTCTGTCTGTTTGTTTGTCTGTTTGTTTGTTTGTATCCAATAAACGTCAAAACGGCTGAACCGATCGGGCCCAAATTTTTTGTGGGACATCTAGGGAGCCCAGGGAAGGTTTATGAATCATCAAAATTTCAAATATTTGTCTCCATCAAAATTCGATCGTCATTAAATTTTTTAAAATTTTGAAAATCCGCGAAATTTTTGGTGAAAATCCGCGAATTATTTTTGTTTAGTTTTACGATGTACACAAAGAGAACATGTTTACAACTAATTTAGAAGATGGGCGCGAAGCGCCCTCTAAGGCTAGAAAGAAGGGCGCGAAGCGCCTTGAATTTCTAGTACATTATATTCTTATACACAGGATTCAATCCTAAACTCCAACCTGAAATTATAACCTAGACAGGGATACATAGTCCCACACCTCACCCTGATTTTGTATCCTGTAAAGGAATGTAATACGTTCCCAAACCAACATCTTGAATTCTTTACCATAAAAAGCCTCCTTCACTATGCTATAATATTGTATATTAGCTTGGTCGGAAACCCAGCTTTGCCTGAAAACTCAACTCTCTTTACAAAGTCAACTTAGTCAACTAATGATTTTTTAACTAAGCTTAGAACATTCCTGTGATTTTACCGAGTTCCCAAATCAAAACTCGGTTTACTCCACCCTAATACTGTATTCTAAACACAGATATAATCCATCATATTATCTCAATAGTGTGTCCTTAACACAGACATAATCCTTCATACTTTCTTAATAGTATTTCTTTAACGCAGAAGCAATCCTTCATTCTTTCTTATTTGTGTTTAATTTACACAGACACATCCTATATTGTCCCGTAATAAAGACTAAAAGATTAAATCCGTCCCTTTAATCTAAAATCAATCAAAACTCTAAAACCTGAATGGCAGATGCAGGAGTGGATACATTACGTCAATTTACATTTGGTCAATTTACATTTGGTCATCATACATTTGGTCAATTTTACATTTGGTCAATTACTACATTTGGGCAATTTACATTTCATCAACTTTACATTTCGTCAATTAATACATTTCGTCAACTGTGACCATGGCCTAAAATTTGGTAAACTTTCATATTTGAAAGCTTGATTCCAACTGTCTCAGCTTGAGTATTAACTTAACAAATTCGCAACAACTCAAGATTTAAGTTAGTTCTCATGTATCAACATGGAAATCTAAGCTCGTGCTAATTTCATCTTGTCCAGCAGGAAAAAGAACTTTTTGGTAGATCGTCAGAACTTTGAGTTCAAGTTTAACCGTGAGAGTGAGACTGGTGCCAGATACTGGGTTTGTAGGCTACGTGATTTATTGAGATGTACTGCAACTGCTTCCACGATACAGAGCAATGATGCTACATTTATCAAAAATGTTAAAAATACTCACAACCACTCAAGTAAGTTGGTTGAAAAAAGAGTTAAAATTTATTTGGACAGTTGTACCATATACGATATCTAAATATATGCATAAATGTAGAAACCTTGCAAATCAAAATTGACCAAATTTATATGTGTTTGTATCAGTTGACCAAATAAAGTGGGATGAAATGTATCAATTGACGTTTGGTAACAGTAGACCAAATGTAGTAATCGACCAAATGTAGTAATTGACCAAATGTAGTAATTGACCAAATGTAAGGTGGACCAAATGTAATATTGACGAAATGTAAGTTGACGAAATGTAAATTGACCAAATGTATCTACTCCCAGATGCGCCCTAATCTTTCTTGTTCTTTTACAGTGACTGAAACTTGATACAATGTTTAGGTCTGTGTACTAAAACAAGCCATTTTTAAGGAACGAAATAAAATATGAAATATCTTTACGAACATAAACAACTTGGATCGACTATTACATTAGAATGTTTTTTTTTAACGAAGTTTAGACTTTAACGAACCCAGAACAAGACATCTTTAATCTAATGATAGCTGACACACATTATAGTAAATGGCGCAACGTCTAACAACCAAAGTGCTCATAATTTTAATATTTCTTTGATATTAAACATGACTTGAATGAAAATTGTGTCCTGGAACTTGGTTTTTAAAAAGTACAATTTTCAAATTTTAATATTTGATGAATTCTCAATTTAATGCAGTTTTGCGACATTTAATTTTGCAAGAATGTGCAAAAGACATGTTTAAATTGCGTGTTTTGTCCATGAATTTATTGAACAATCCATTAAACAATTCGCGAATGAAAAGATATTTGAACATAGATGTTGATGCTAAGCTTAAGAAAATCTCATTTAACTCCCTTTACATAAAAGAAGGAAGTCTTTGTCTGCTATAGGAAACATAATCTAGAAAAAAGATTAAAAAATACTTACTTATGATATTAACGTCTACTTCTGCTTTCTTTGTTCCTGGAGCAAACATTTCAAAAGTAGCAAGTTTCCCCGCATTAAAATGTCTGACAGTTTCCCCAACAAACTTGCACTTCTCAGCTGTTCCCTTGTAGCTGGTGAGTGCTGGACCAACCGTCATAGCCTTTGACTCCTGGGACTTAGAGAAGGAGTTTTGACTCGACTTGAAGGAGGAGGAGAAGCTGGAGGTTGTCATTGACACGTCCTGGGATCTGGAGAGGAGACTAGAGCTGTCTTGAGACTTGGAGACAAGATTTGATTTATCTTGGGATCTAGAGAGCAGACTAGAACCGTCCATGGTCTTGGGAAAAGTACTTGGACTTTCTTGGGACTTTGAAAAGATACTAGAATTTCCCTGAGACTTTGATAAGAATCCATTACTGGTTTCTTGAGACTTAGAGTATATTCCATTTGTCTCTATTGACTTCGAGTATAAACCAGAACTTTCTGTTGACTTAGTTAAACCGGATCCATTGGTCAATGATGACTTTTTATCCGTGGGGTCGGACAGTTTTGTGTGTAAAGAGCTGCGCCGTTCTATTGATTTATTGAAGGTTGAAGATTTAGGCATGGTTGAATTTCCATTCGATAACCCGCTAAACTTTGAATCCTTTGAAAATTCATTCTTCCCTGTATTGACAGACCTTTCAATAGTAGTTGAGTAGGTGGCACGGGGTGAGTAACTTTGACTTAGAGAGTTTAGCTGATCCATAGAGGAGGACTGAAACCTTTTCTTATCTTCCAAGTTTGAGGACTTAGCTCCAGACAAAAGTTTCGGAGTCTCTAGAAGTGAGAAGCTTCCGAACTCTGACTTTTGAAAATCTGATTTAGCTGGAGTCTTAGAAAAGAGATCAGATTTGTTGTTTGAAGAAGAGAAGCTGGATTCAAACTTTGATGTAGATGTTGAAACCAATTCTTTACTCTGTTGAAAGAGTGAGTTCTGTTTTAGCTCAGTATTCAGTTTTGATTGGCTTGAGCTAAGTCTGTTGTTCAAAGTGGAGAGAGAGTCGTTGAGTCTGGGTTTAGGGAGAGTATCATGGGATCCGAAACCGTTTTCTCGAGCTTTAGCGGGGTTTGCTACAAGCATCGGAGATAGTAGTGGAGTATTGGGATCCTTTACTTCAACAAACCAGGGAGAGTTAGGAACCTTCTCTCCGTTAAACTTGACGTCTACCCTATGACGGCCAGGATCGTGGGGGATAAAGTTAGCTTGAAACTGTTCTTTTGAAATTGTATGTACATGGCTGGTGACTCGACCTCCGTTAACCACAATTTCTAGGTTTCCAAAACCTGCTCCAGATCCTCCAACTGAAAAAGGATTCGTTCATTAAATTAATACTTTTTTATTTACATCAAAACAAGATATTAAAGTTACTTTTATAAAGGAATTGAATCTTTGCCACATACTCAAATTTTCTAATCCCTATATCTTTGTAACTTGGTGGTGTTAACCTTTAAAATTTTAAACTCAGATTATTTGATCTAACAGAATTCATATTTTGAAATATCTAAGGTCTACGACATTGGGTTGCAAAGGCATTGTGATAAGAAAATCAGAGTTTGTAGCAAAAGCTCCATTAAAAGAGTTTATACGTTTTATTTATTTATTTAAGATGGGTTTAGTTTCTTTTTTGCACATATGCCTTTACTTTTAATACTTAACATATTAATCAGAATTAATTTTGTATTAAGATTTTTATCTTTTTTGGTGAAGGGGAATTTAAAAAAAACAATCGGTAGATATTTATACATTGATTTTTGTAATTTTTGAATAAAATTTTAGAATTTTAAAGCTTGAATTGGTTGTGGAAAGAAAAAATTACTGTGATTAGGTTAAAGGCCGATCTGTCTTCAGGACAAAAATATTTGTAAACAATTATCTATTTATTTTTGAAACCTTAGGGTTATTTCCAGCAGTGATGAACTGAACCCTGCTATTAGACGAAGTTTTAATAAACACGAATTGCATCGTTTTTTTACTTTGTGTTTGCATACTCATGGGTGAGGGATCAAAAGTTGAAAGTAGAAGAAAATTCCAAGAGTATTTATCCAAGAAAAAAGCGAAATCCATATCTGTATTATATATAGAGTACTTACTATCGAACTCCACTGGCAATCCAACATATCCCATCGGTAGCTGTCCAACTTTAATCTTTGAAGCATCATATGTATAGAAGCTTGGAGTAACATTAAGTCTCTCATCGCTTATTATGATCTCTATCGTGTGCTCTCCTACCATGGATGTTGAAAATTCACAAGTAAAAGTTCTGTCCTGGTTCAGGTTTATCTGGGTTGGACACTTGCTTCCTCCAGGTCCAATTATAGATATATGAATATCATTCTTATCCGCTCCATCTGTCGGGCAATCAAACGCAATGGTTCTACTAACAGGGAGAAGATCTGTACCTTCCTCCGTCTGATGATCTGACTGAAAGAGACGTGTTTGTTCATCTTTAAAATCCCTGAAGCTTTGTCTCTTATCCCTCTTAGATCGTGGCGGAGCAACAGGTTTCTCAATATAAACCTCCTTCTCTGTATAGTTATTATTAAACCTTCTCTCTACCTTCTGCTCGTCAAACTTCTTGTATTTTCTGTCCACCTTGAAGGCTTCTGTATTGCTACTCCTGGTCTCCTTTATATCTTTACCTATCCGGAGAGAGAAAGCTGAACCCTTAACCTCCATCCCGTTCAGGTAAACGTATACCCTATGCTTGCCTCTGGACTGCGGGGTGAATGTGACCTGGTAAACTCTATGCCTAATCTCCTCGACATAAAAAGTTCGACGGATAGATTTGTTGTCGAAGACGACATCTATAGCGACTTCGCCCCAGCCTGTCTTAGAAGCGTCGACCGTGAAAGTAAACGGTTCTCCTGGTTTAGCTCTTCTTGCACTCTCCTGGTCAGGAATCTAAAAAAACAGTTTTAAAATCTATAATATTTAATATTAAATCAGATAAAATTCAAACTATGAACAGTTCTTTAAATTGAACACTTCATTACAATTCAAATAATGTATTGCTATTTTCCCCACTCTTTTCCTAACTCATAAATGTGCGCGCTTATCCGTTCATACTCTTTAAACCAACAGAGGAGCAGGGTAAATCGTCTTTAGACATCCTAGTGCTGTGTGTTTAGTGTTGAACCATATATCGGTGTACAATATTACACGAAAATGAGCAAGTAAATAGACCTTGTAAACAATACCTAATATGCAGTGTACACTATGCAGTATGCACTATGCAGTATCAAAGACTAGCATGTATTTATAGATTACTTTTTGTTCTTTTGTTTTTAAAGAAATTTGATTTAATTTAATTATTGAAATATTAATTTTTATGCTTAAAGCAATCCCTAATGGGTCGTTAATTTCTATTTCAGAATTAGTAAAATAGATTTAAAACCTCAACTAAGCCCGGCCTTGAATTCTAATGCATTCATAAGATTAGGCTTCTCCTGGAATGTGTGACGTTACAAAACCCAACCAGGACCAGGTGTTCAGGCATATAGCAGGAGATATATAGTATACTGTGTTTATACAACTTCACATAGATTACGTCATGCCCAGAAAAATAAATGGTTTGAATTGCAAGAAGTTTTTAATTATTCTGATGAATGTTAATGCGGCCCTCGATAACATTCATAACAGTGAACTTTGTCAAAGAAAAAATTCCATAGAAATCATATTTATCTGTTTTTGTTGCATATTATCAATTTTCAAGAAAAAATAAAAACATTTTGTTTTTTTGTTATTTTTTTGCGCCTGTTATGAATCGATAATGGCACTCTAGAATGAGATATAAATGTACAATTTCTTTACTAGTCCTGATCTAGTGGCAACTGCTTTCTCAAAATCTTTTTGCAGAAAGAGCTTAATTAGTGGATATAGAGATAGGAGACAGGTGTGCATATTTAGGCTGATATCGGAGTGATTCACTATTTCTCTTTTTCGGCCAACATGTTTACAGCTTTTTACGAGCATAACACATTTTTTGGAAGGGTGCTTTTAATGTTTGAACTTAACCATAGGAAAAGTATCTTTCAATGATAAAATTTTGGTCAAAGGAGTTTTTTTCTGATCCTAATATCTTTGCAAACTGGTGGTGTAAACCTTTGATATTTCAATCTTAGATTATTATTTCAAATTGGGTTGCAAAGATATAGAGATTAGAAAATTCCTTAATTGGTATCGGGTATATCTCGAAATGCGCAGGCATGTTTACGCAAATTAGATTAATATTTATGGATCTTGTTCAAAATGTTGAATTTAAACTTACAAAAATAGCTCTAGGATCGAAGACCATGCACTTAAAGGGACTGTTCTCTATATCCTCTCCATCATAAGTGACATGAATCCTCCATTCTCCGGCCTCGTCTGGCTGAAAGGAAGCATAGAAGGTCCCGTTGTCCTCTGAAACAGGACAACCAAGAGGACGGTTTGTCGGAGAATATGCGGTTACTTCAAGAAGATCGGGTCTTGCTGCATGATGAGGATTTATCTGAAAAAGTATCTTTTTTATACTCATACTTGTGAGATAATAATAGATGAAAAACGACGTTTTTTAAAAACTATATGTTTGTTATTTTATTCGTCATAAAATTACTTAATTTAAATTACAATTACCGAATCAATTAAACATTAAATATCTCAATAAAATCTAAAGATTACTATTATGGTAGATAAAAGTTTAGGAAGACATGAATTAAAATAAAATTGATTACTTACCAAAACCTCGACAGTTGAACCAACAGCACAAGGTTCTATCCCATCATAATCTTTCTTAGAGTTGGGCATAGACCGGATGTAGGAGGGAGATCCCTTCACGGCCTCTCCTTCATTAGTCAACAGAACCTCGTGCATTCCATACTCTCGGGCAGTAAAGTGACCTTTTCCATCTCGAGGATCAAACTCGAGGTTGACGGGTCCCGAAGGTCCGACAATCTTTGCGTCAAGATGATCTATTTTCACCTGGTCTTTATCAAGAACATCGACCAGGAACTCAACTTTGTCACCAACCTTACACTTGCCAGTTCCTAGTCGCATCTCCACTAGTTCGGCAGGACCCGCCTTATCAGGAATCCATTGAAACTGCGCTGCCCACGCCATCACACCAAGATATTCTACGTTAGGATTGGCTATATCCCGACTTTCTAGAACGGGGTTTACTCCGAGCTTCTGAGCTCCACGGAGTGCTGTATCAAGGTTCTCTGTCCAATTCTCCGGGTTCTTGTTCATATCCCGGAATCCTGGAACTGGACCTCCCTTACTCTTTACCAGTGCAGATGCAGCTAACCCGTCATTCCAGTCGGTCTGAAAATAATACTTTATAGATTTTAATCTTTAACTTTTTTGAAAGGAAGAATTCTGGATGTCATGTTTGAAAGGAATGATATCTTGTTGTTGTCTGATCTACTGGATGACTATATTACTATCTTTAAGTTCTATCAACAAATAGTCTTGAGAGAAACTTACTCCTTCAAATGCTACATTCCTACTTGTATACATATTTGTCAGTGTCTTCCTATAAACACTTAAACCTATTGCATTTATCTATCTATCTGTTGATACTCCAGTATCCGGATCCATCCTATCTACCTGGACCTGATTGCATGCATTCAAACAAAACTTAAACCTCCTTTAATCTTAGTGTATTCCAATATACAGGATACAAGATACATGATGAAGGATATGGATACTTGGTGTACGATGATACAGAATATATGACGTAACATGCAGACACAATACAGCGTAAGAATTAAATGAGGTGGAATGAAAAACTGTAGGGTATAAGCAAAACGTTGAAGAAGACTTACAAATAGTTTGTGGACTAAATATAGTGGAAGACCTGAATGTAAATCTTAAATTATTTTGTTGTGAAATACTATAACAATTTTAATGCAGTAGACAACCTGAACGTAGTGTGTCAAACCTAAATGTAGTGTTAGACTTGATTATAGTAAAAGACTTGAAGGTAGGGTAAAACCTAAATGTAGTGTAATACCTGAATGTAGTGTAATACCTGAATGTAGCAGAAGACATGAATGTAGTATATAAGACCTTGATGTAGTATAAGACCTGAATGTAGTATGAGACCTGAATGTAGTATAAGACCTGTATGTAGTCTAAGCCCTGAATGTAGTATAAGACCTGAATGAAGTATAAGACCTGAATGAAGTCTAGAACCTGAATGTAGTATAAGACCTAGCAGAATGCAGTATATCAGTATATGAGACCCGAATGTAGTATAAGACCTAAATGTAGTATAAGACCTAGCTGAATGCAGTATATAAGACCTGAATGTAGTATAAGACCTGAATGCAGTATGTAAGACCTGAATGCAGCGCTAGACCTGAATGTAGTCTAAGACCTGAAAGTAGTATAAGACCTGAATGCAGTATATAAGACCTGAATGTAGTATAAGACCTAACTGAATGTAGTATAAGACCAGAATGTTGTATAATATCTGAATGTAATATAAGACCCAACTGAATTTGAATGTAGTATAATATCTAGCTGAATGTAGTGTAAGACCTGAATTTAGTGCAAGACCTGAATACGTGCAAAGTTCAAGTACTAGAACAGTACAAGCTCCCATAAAGGATTTACTGTCCTAAATAAACCAAGAGAAGGGATCTATGACTCATCAACTATAAAGAAGAAGATCCCCAGAACAGATTTAGTTACAATTATAATATGTATCAATTTATCTAAATTTAAACAGTTTAGGAAGCTTCTAAATATTTGAATAATTAAATTATAATATTAAAGAGTGAGTGAGTGAGTAAATATAACTTAATTCTGAAACTGAGTTACTTATAAAATAGGTCCTAATTTGAAGTACATACGTGATAAAAAGATTTTTAACAATTTAACCTTGAATGGACGTTTTATATTCTCTCAATTAGATAAGAAGAAAATTAATTTACTCAGTAGCAAAACCAATTACAGCGGAAACGTGAGATAATAAAAATGTCTTTAAAATATTTAAAAGGACAAAACATCCATTTGAGATTTGAGCTTAAATGTGTAATACGTTTTGCAGCGATCATAAAATTACATTAAAATGTTGAAACTAGCAAAAAATGTATTTAAACGATGCAAATGTTCATAACTTCTACCACACAGTCCAAAAATAATATACACTAAACATTGAAAGGAATAGAACATCACTTTTTTAAAATAAAATATCTTCTAAAAAGTATTTGTATTTTGTATTGGTTTAGTTTAAACCACTCCCTGAGCTGAGAGGTGGATGGTACGTGTAGATGAGCTAGGAGTGTAGAGATTACTGAGTATACCTGCCCAAACCAACCACACATGTTGGGTTTAGGAATTCTCTAGTTAGAGTGCATCTCAAGAGGAGAAGAAATACGCTGTAAATCTAAGAATTCAGATAAACTTTACGTCCTGGTTTTATTAGGATGGCCACTACATAGAGTGTAAAATTTAGTAACTAAAGAAGAATCAATTGTAAATTCTAGATAAAAAACAGTCAAAGAGTTCTAAATACACCAGAGCTAACAGAGTTGTCTTCAGAGTGCAGCATAATCAAGAGTTTAGTGAATAATCTAGATAAAAGAGAAGGATGGAAGCATGTATATCCAAGAAACTGTCAAATGTGAGATACTTTATATTTGTGTACTGTGTAGATACTAGATACTGAAGTGTAGATGCTAGATATCATCAAATACATTTTCTGAACTATGGTACACTACAGGGTAATTTTGATTTTATGGACTCTGTAGCAGTTTATGCAAAATTTCTAGGTAGCAATTACACATTCTTACTTGAATATTTATCTTGAATGTATGTTTTGCTTAATCCCCATCCCCTTTCTCCTTCAAACATTCCCCAGAATAGATGTAAAAGGAATAAAGAAAGGTATAATAAGGGAAGGAATGACAGAGGGTAGGATGAGGGAAGAAATAAAGGAGGGTAGGATGAGGGAAAGTATAAAGGAGGGATAGGATGAGAGAAAGTATAAAGGAGGGTAGGATAAGAGAAAGTATAAATAAGGGTAGGATGAGAGAAAGCATAAAGGAAGGTAGGATGAGAGAAAGTATAAAGGAGGGTAGGATGATATAAGGTATAAAGGAGGGTAGGATGATAAAAGGTATAAAGGAGTGTTGGATGAGAAGGCGTAAAGGAGGGTAGGATGAGAGAAAGTATAAAGGAGGGTAGGATGATAGAAAGTATTAAGGAAGGTAGGATGAGAGAAAGTATAAAGAACGGTAGTATGATATAAGGTATAAAGTAGGGTAGGATGGTATAAGGTATAAAGGAGTGTTGGATGAGAAGGCGTAAAGGAGGGTAGGATGAGAGAAAGTATATAAAGGAGGGTTGGATGAGAGAAAGTATAAAGGAGGGTAGGATGAGAGAAAGTATAAAGGAGGGTAGAATGAGAGAAAGTATAAAGAAGGGTAGGATGAGAGAAAGTATAAAGGAGGGTAGGATGAGAGAAAGTATAAAGAAGGGTAGGATGAGAGAAAGTATAAAGAAGGGTAGGATGAGGGAAAGTATAAAGAGGGTTAGGATGATAGAAGGTGTAAAATCAAAGTATGATAAGGGAAGGGGTAAAGTTAGGTAAGAATGAGGTGAGATATAAAAATCTAAAATAAAGCTGATGTCATGAACATTTGCTAAACAGGTTTCTATATTTATGTTTAGCAAACTAAGCTCAATATCTTAAATCAGGGGCTAAGTAACACAGCTGAAACAGATAAGACTCAGACTTGAAATCTCAAAACTATGTCCATCCCTCCTTGAAATCTCAAAACTATGTCCATCCCTCCTTGAAATCTCAAAACTATGTCCATCCCTCCAAGAAATCTCGAAACTATTCCCATCCCTACTTGAAATCTCAAAACTATGTCCATCCCTCCTTGAAATCTCATAGCTATTCCCATCCCTCCTTGAAATCTCAAAACTATGCCCATCCCTGCTTGAAAAGCTGAATAACGAATAAAGTGTTTTACTCAGATTAAAAATAGATATTTATTCAAAGCATTATCTATCTAGGACATATATTTATCTATATATACTTTGTATAAATATATGTATAGGGTTAAAATGGTTGTATACATGACTCCACCCACACCAACCACACAAACAATATAAAATACTGATGTAAGGAGATCTATGCTTGAATGTAGAATATCATGAAAAATTACAATAAATGCATTAACTGCAACAATTTATAGTTAACGTCTATCCGAAGAAAGAAGTTCGTAGTAAGATTTCGATTATACTGGAGACCACCGGAGAAATTTCATTTTTACTCGAGGGGTTTGAAAAGTCACTTTTTTCAATTTGAAACTTTACGCATGGTGATGTACAATCCACTGGAGGGTTCAGATATCTATCCAGGGGAATTATAAATCCACTAGAAAGATATCTGAATCCCTCCAGTGGAATGTAAATCACCCTGCCTAAAGTTTTAAATTGTAAAAAGTATTTTTTCTAACCCTTCCAGTGAAAATGAATTCCCTCCTGTGGTCTCCAGTGGAGTCAAAATCTTACTACGAACTTCCGTGACTCTCTGAATAGCAACTGTATTATACAGTGTATATTGAGCGACGGCTCTTTTGAACAAAATTTTTTCACTTGGTCCACTTCCTAATAGCTTTACTTGCGTATACGTGCAGACCCTGAAGTATGAATGCAATTTTTGTGAACCTAATTGTAAGAAAAAATGGTTTGCATTGTACTACACTCATCAAATTATTGACAAACCTAACTAAAACAATTAGTACATTATAGAATAAGAGTGTTTTAAAAGATTTTGTATAAGTTTTTGATTTAATAAATCAATATTTGAACCAACCAAAATACATCTATCTATCTATCAAAACTTCTGCCTTGATGACCATATAAGGAATTTGCAACGGATTGGTTTGATGCCGCCTAGAGGGAAGATCATATTTATTTTAATAAAAACTGACATATTTTTTTGCTTTCGTCTTCAATGCATTTTTAAAGCATTTTATGTATTTCAGTTGGATAGGGGGGGGGGGATAGCAAGTAAATAAAATTTACTTCTGATGTAAACCATAGTTTTTCAAATCATAGGATCTTGTAATTTTTATTATTTTCAGCCTTAATATTTACAAATATCTTTATTTTAGATAATTGAAACCTTGAAGCAACTGACATTGAAAATACTTTTATAAAATTAGTTGAAATCAAAAACTTAAAAAATACCAGTACTGTATGTACAATTTAACATTTTCAATATTCATAATTTTCATTCTTGAAATAAGAATTAGACTCCTNGATAGATATATAAATATAATATAATTATCACGCAACCTTGTAAATTTGAAAAAAGGTTGGGGGAGGGGGGTCCAGGCGTTTATGGTAAACTAAAAAATATCTTGAAATATTTCGTAAAATAATTGAAACATTTCAATAAAATTTTTAATTTCAGAAAAACAGAATTTTCTCAAAATTACTGGTCGTAAAACCTAAACATTCATGATACATAGTTTAACTAAATTTTAAGAACTGCTAATCTTGATTGTTTACTCTGCTAGAAATGTTAATTGTATTTTTAATGATGATTTAAAGCGAATACTTGGGTTTTAGAACAGCTAACCAGCTACAAAGTTATCAACAATGCAATGCAATATCAAGCTAATCTTAAAATCGCCTATACTTCTTCATTCTTAGTTTTAAAGATGTTAAATCTAAATCAGGACTTTGATTAGATTGATCATGATTTTAAAAGATTTTTCAATTATATTGACTAATTTTAAAGTGTTGCATAAATGTTTTCGATGCTTACCCTAAAATTGTTTATCCTGAAGTTTGGAATCTGGTTCTTCACCCAGTTCAAGGTAGAATAGTATCCTGGAGAATCTTCCTCCTGAACCCAACCCGGTAAAAAATCAAGAACCAAAGCAAAAACTAATGAAGGAAGTCAAAAGCAGAAAATGACAACAATTGATTTTAAAATGTTTTTTTTTTTATAAATATTAAAGGGACCGTTCACTTATTTGGGTAATTTTAGGGTAAACTAAACAGCCTATTCGTTGTTGATTGGTAATAGTCTTACTTTTCAAAGACAACTGTGGCCGGAGAAAACGCCGATTTTTCGTTCAGAATTTGAGCGGAAAGGGACGGTCCCTCTCTAAAGACACATTTGATTGTTTTTTTTCAGTAACAGCAGCCCAATAACATTTAAATTTATTATATTTTAATGTCATTATGTGTTCGTTATTATGTACTAAAATATGAAAACTTTTGATATTTAAGTTAGCAAGAAATGAACGTTTTTCGTATTAAAACATGTAAAATGTGTATACAAAGACGACGTATCTACGACAATCAATTAATCATTAATCGTATTTTGGTTCGTAGATTTTGTTCCCGCATGTGCACAACTTTTCATTTGTCATACCGATTTCAATTCAGCTTTTTACACAGGCAATGCCAAATTTGAATGCGATAAAATAGTGTTATTTTAGAAATAGAAATAAAAAAAAATAAAAAAATAATGACATTTGCAATTAACGATTAGATACTAAGTTTAATTTTATATTCGAAATTTATTTTGATCCACAACATACTGAAAAAAACATCAAAAAGTGTCTATAGAGAGGGACCGTCCCTTTCCGCTCAAATTCTGAACGAAAAGTCGGCTTTTTCTCCGGCCACAGTTGTCTTTGAAAAGTAAGACTATTACCAATCAACAGCGAATAGACTGTTTAGTTTACCCTAAAATTACCCAAATAAGTGAACGGTCCCTTTAAGAATTTGCGATTCTTGTTTAAAGAACATGATCATTATTCTCACACTCTTATTTTATAATACCTTCATCTTTGCAACTTTTCCATATTTAACACATTAAACTAGCTTTGCTATATCAAACAGTCAAAGATCGAATTTACCAAACCATTATGTTGCAAAGATATAAGGATTGGAAAAATTTAGTTTGGGCGAGTGACAAGTTCCTTAAATGTTTATTCCCTGAATCGAATACAAATTAGAAGTAATATTGAATAAAATAAAACTTAGAATTGTAAGAATATTCTCAAATCAAAGAATTTGTTTTATCAAGTTCCTTCATAAAGTAGGATAAATAGGTCATCCCAGATAATTCATCTAGATGGGGGGATGCGAAGTGCTCAGGCTCAAGCACCATTGGAATTTTAAACTCCCTGAAAAATTAAAAAAATGAAGTTAGATTAATGGACCATAAAATACATTAAAACATTCATAAATAATAAGAGTATTTATGACACTTAATATTTTAGGCAAAATGTCAAGTATCGCGATTTTTTCCGATCAAGAGGTTTTGAAAAAAAGAAATAATAGCAGTCCTTTGCTGAACTGATTTTATTTTAACGTAAAATTAATTCCTAAATTTCATACTGATAATACACAATAAGAATACTGAATACATACCTCTCAGCTATTTGCATACTGATAATACACAATAAGAATACTGAATACATACCTCTCAGCTATTTGCATAGCACGTCTGCAGTTTTCCAAACCATTGCTGGGAGACAACCTTTGCCAATTAGGTAATAATCCAGGCCTAAAATTCTTGTGATAAAATACTTGTTGTTGGATTTATTATGGCACAAGGAGATGAAAGAAAGGAAAAATATGTCACTAAAATTGTTGCTTTATACTTATGTGAATTTTAAATCTCTAGAGAAATGGAGTATCTTTGTTTGATAAATTGATAAAATATTTGCTGCAGAATTTAAAATGTATTAAGAGATAATAACCAACAACTTCATATTTAAGATTTTAACACTGAAAACATACCTGCAGTACTCAAGCAGTGCAGACAAATTTATTCCATTATTCCAGTCAGAGGTGAAGTTTTTAATATTGCAATCTGGTAATACAGCCTAAAAATAAATAAATGTAAATGGTTTTATAAAAATCCGGTAATACAGACTGCATTATGAATATATGTAGGTTGTATTGTAGATATTTATATTTCAATCCGGTAATACAGACTGCAATATGAATATATGTAGGTTGTATTGTAGATATTTATATTACAATCCGGTAATCAGTCTGAAATGTGAATATACGTAAGATAAATTGTAGGTAATTATATTATAATCCGGTAATACAGTCTGAAATATGAATATATATGTAAGATGTAATTGAAGAGTTCTATATTAGTAGATTTTTATATTACAATCCGGTAATATAGCCTGAAATGTGAATATATGTAGGTTGTATTGTAGGTAATTATATTTAATCCAGTAATACAGCCTGAAATATGAATATATGTAGAATGTATTGTAGATATTTATGTTACAATCCTGTAATACAGCCTGAAATATGAATATATGTAGAATGTATTGTAGATATTTATATTACAATCCAGTAATACATAGAACTACTTATATAAAAGGAAATAAACTGTGAAATGTTTTAGATTTAAAATAAATCTCAAGGTTTATGAGTAATTGTAGATTCAAACTTTGATTCTTTGCTTAATTAGATCAATCTTAATGTTTGTTTGTTTGATAAATTATCTTTAATAATTAAACGCTAAAATTTAGTAATTTGTAAGTATGAATTCATGAATAACCTAACTTTAAGAAAAAAATACTAACTTTTGCTTTGTTTGCGTTAAAAATGTAGACTATTTGATAATTTTTGTATTTAAGGGCGAGTTGAGGGTTTTATGTCAATGGTATTTTGGAAATAATCATTGTAAATATCGTTGTTATCATTACTATTTTTATAATTATTATTATCATTATTATTTGCATTATTGTTTATATTACTATTAGTATTATTATTATTATTAGTATTATTATTATTATTATTTTTATTATTATTATTATTATTATTATTATTATTATTTTATGACTATTCCTTGTGTTTGATGAATATGTGTCTAATGATGAGATGGTTTGTGTAGTGTAAACTGTTGCAGGGATCTCAGGCTCCTATTTAACACCAACCATCTCTATCTTGCCTAAAGGGACTGTAAGCGGCATTTCAAGTGACCCCCCGGTTACAGTGTGGCATTCACAATTCACAACTGTACCCTTTCAATCTTTATCTAAGCAACAATGAGTAAGATATCGTCGTTTTTCTATCTGGATAAGTGTGCCTTTCTTTCCCAATCTATAAATCTGCGAGTCAATATTATAGAGAACCACATTTGAAAATAAACAATTTTTATGATAGAAAACCAGGGATAACTCTGTTATTTTTGCTCAAACAAATGTTTGTGGAAAAGGCATCAGTTCTCTTGAATGGGGGGGGGGGTCACTAGAAGACAATTTTTAAGCTCGTCTTTAATCTTTATTAGAGAGCAAAATACAGAATTATTTTGGAAATGAAATATTCTGATAAAGGTTTGGCTTAAAAGCGACCTTCTCATTTATGCAGAAGAGACTAGGAATAAAATTGACAAAATGTCTTCTTTTCAATATATCTTCCTTATTATTCAGATAAAGGTTTAAAAGTATCATTGTTAATTTTACATGTGACTTCTTTAAAAGAGGGTTAATTGAAATGGTGTCTACAGCTCCTTTTAGAAGTTCAAGTTCTGTAAAGTTTCTCATCAGTAAAATTTAAATTATTTTGTTAAATGAAAATGATGATATCGATTTGGTTTTCTGGTTTCCTTAAAAAAGATGATTTGTGGTTTGGATTGATCTCCTCCCTCCTCCTCCTCCTCCTCCTCCCAATCATCGTACTCCTCAACCCTGACAATCAGGACATCTTAGTTCTATATATATGTTTTTCGGAAAAGATAAATCTAAGTTGACAAGCAATGACCAGCTTTAGGACACGTTAATGCGGGAGAAAGTATATTTAGAGGCATTTTCCCATATATTAAGACTAGCGCTGCGGCTAGGACATGTTACCCCTTGGGAAATTATAGATTTGAGAAGTCACCAATTGGAAAATTGTAAATATGCGTAGTTAACAATTGGGATTTTTTACATTTGGAAGTTACCGATTGGAAAATTGTTCACTAATGAAGTTACGGTTTGGGTAAATATAAATTTTGGAAGCTCCACTTAGGAAATTGTACATTTTGGAAGTTAACACTTGGAAAATTGTACAGTTTGGAAGTTAACACTTAGAAAATTGTACAGTTTGGAAGTTAACACTTAGAAAAGTGTTTATTTTGGAAGTTAACACTTGGAAAATTGTACAGTTGGAAGTTACCGCTTGGGAAATTATACATTTAAAAGAAATGCTCTTAAAAATTTATTATTTTACAGAAAATTCAAAATTAAAAACCTACTTATTTTTTCTCCTCTCCTTCCCCTTCCTTCTCTTCTTAATCCTCTGTACAGGCAGTAGCGTTGTAGTCTCCAGTTCAAAATCTGGGTCCGGGGCACTCAACTCTATCTTAGACTCTACAAAATACAGTAGTAAACAGAATGCAGTGAAACAATTGTCGTCTTTTTAATTGTCAAATATTACGATTTTGTAGTTTGTATATGATTTTTTTTCAATAATTATTGAAAACAGTTTAATAAAAAAAAAATGCAAAATAACGAAGATGACGATCTTTCCACAGTTTTCTGGTTACGCCTTAAGTCTCTGTTTGTGCTTTAGATTTTACCAAAGCATATGTAAGATATCACATTTTTGCCAACTATACTTCTTAAAATTACTGAAACAATGATCTAACTTCAGTGGAAAATAAAGAATTTTTAATCATTCAAAATTCATTCATCTTACATCCATAACATTTTTGAGAAATGATATAGCATAGTAAACTGAAAACTGGAAAATTAAGATTTATGCATTTATACGTTTATACATTTATACAAATATGTGTCAGAATGTGGATATTTTTGTTCACAGTAAAGTTGAATAATTTGAGCTGAACGCTAAAAAATTTATATTTTGCTTGTGACATATTAAGAAGTTATTATTATAATCTTCATATATGAAGTAGTAAACTCTGTTTATTATTATGTCCGATCATAACTCTTAAACCCCTTGACGGATTTATTTCAAATTTTGACTGGGGATAAGGGCAGGGAATGTTTTCGCTTGGTTTAAAGATTCTAAGTGGATGGGGTCGCCTTTTAAATAAAGTTTAGTTTCCTGTCAAAGCTAGGATCCCACGCTAGTTAATACTAATTAGCTTACCTTGTAATTGAACAGTAGCTTGGGCCTCCCCTAGACTGTTTCTAGCTTTACAGGCATATACTCCAAAATCTTTCTTTCTAAACAAGGAAATAATTCGTTAAAGTTAGTTTAGTTAAGTTCAGTTCAGTTTAGTTCAGTTAAGTCTAGTCTAATTTAGTTTAGTTTAGTTAAGTTTAGTTTAGTTTAGTTTAGTTTAGTTTAGTTTAGTTTAGTTTAGTTTAGTTTAGTTTAGTTTAGTTTAGTTTAGTTTAGTTTAGTTTAGTTTAGTTTAGTTTAGTTTAGTTTAGTTTAGTTTATTTTAGTTTAGTTTAGTTTAGTTTAGTTTAGTTTAGTTTAGTTTAGTTTAGTTCAGTTTAGTTCAGTTTAGTCAGTTAAGTTCAGTTCAGTTCAGTGTAGCTCAGTTCAGTTCGATCTTAATTGTTATACCTAACGTCAATAGTTAGATATATTCTCATACTATAAGAATTGATTTGCTCCTCTGTAGTCTTGTATCTACCTCCAGAAAGTATATTTACATCTTCTCCTAAAAGGGTTGAAAATACATGTTAAATTTACAAATAACGATGAAATGTGTTTTTCATCATATCTATTTTTCCACTATTTCTCATCTATTTCTGGTTTCAAAGTTTCTTAAATGATTTTTAACCTATATGAAAATATACCAAATTGACCAAAATGACCAAATTTTTGTAATTAGGAATATAACTAAACCAATCTTTTCGCTTAAATACAGTGATAACCAGAAAATCCTGAAGTAGGAAGACGACTAAATAGAAATACTGTAAATGTATTTGATGGTGTTCAAAAGAAAATAGTTTTACTAGACACTTATTAAGTCACTAACTAAGTGAAATGGGTCTATTTACACTGAACAATTGCTGTGTACCCTACTAATTTGACTATTCAAAGTCATAACTTAAGTATGAAAGTCGTCTTCTTATTTCAGAGTTTTCTGGTAATCACTGTATGTCTCTTTATTATCTAGATTGATAGGGTACGTATGTGTCAAAGCTTTTTTGCTTTTTTGTGCTCCCGGTTTAATTAAAATTTTTGTTGATTTTTTAAATAAAGTACTTCTATTTTTTCAAAGAAGGTTACTTAATTTAAGAAACATTTGTAAGCAAATCATGCTTAGCTTAGTTAAATTCTTATTTAAGGGCAAAAAATTGTATGTTTATTTTTAAATAAAGATTTTAAAATGGCTCCCACGAAATTCCTAATTACCTTTTTGCATCTGTTTGGCCCAGTAGTTGATGGGTCGGGGAGAGGATTGTACAACACATTCAAGGATTACCTAGAATACAAGAATATCCTAGAATACACGGATATCCTAGAATACAAGGATATCCTAGAATAAAAGTATATCCTAGAATACAATAATATCCTAGAATACAAGAATATCCTAGAACACAAGGATATCCTAGAATACAAGGATATCCTAGAATACAAGAATATCCTAGAATACAATGATATCCTAGAACACAAGGATATCCTAGAACACAAGGATATCCTAGAATACAAGGATATCCTAGAATACAAGGATATCCTAGAATACAAGATTATAATTGAATACAAGAATATCCCACAATACAAGATTATAATAGAATACAAGAATATCCTAGAATACAAGGATATCCTAGAATACAAGGATATCCTAGAATACAAGGATATCCTAGAATACAAGGATATCCTAGAATACAAGGATATCCTAGAATACAAGATTATAATTGAATACAAGAATATCCCACAATACAAGATTATAATAGAATATACAAGAATATCCTAGAACACAAGGATATCCTAGAATACAAGGATATCCTAGAATACAAGGATATCCTAGAATACAAGGATATCCTAGAATACAAGAATATTCTAGAATACAAGGATATCCTAGAATACAAGGATATCCTAGAATACAAGGATATCCTAGAACACAAGGATATCCTAGAACACAAGGATATCCTAGAATACAAGGATAATCTAGAATACAAGGATATCCTAGAACACAAGGATATCCTAATCCTAGAATACAAGGATAATCTAGAATACACGGATATCCTAGAATACAAGGATATCCTAGAATACAAGGATATCCTAGAATACAAGGATATCCTAGAATACAATGATATCCTAGAATACAAGAATATCCTAGAATACAATGATATCCTAGAACACAAGGATATCCTAGAACACAAGGATATCCTAGAATACAAGGATAATCTAGAATACACGGATATCCTAGAATACAAGGATATCCTAGAATACAAGGATATCCTAGAATACAAGATTATCATAGAATACAAGGATATCCTAGAATACAACCCGACAAAGGTTCAGCTTGTAACGCTGTACATGTAATGTTTAAATGGAGGGTTACTTGAAAGTTCCTTTTATCTCATGTGTTACTCTATTGTTGAAAATATATTATATTTGCATGAACTGTAAAGAGACTTTTCTAAGCTGCCGGGTCTGTTTTCATCAATTTTGCAGAGAGCTCAATAAAATTACAAAATCTGAAGAATTGAAAAATTAGATCAAATATTTTTTTGTGTAAATATATCCAAAAGAAAATATGTACCAAGGTAGGCATATGAAGGTAGGGGGGACAGGATTTGTGCATATTTTTCTATGACGTATTTAGACCACTCAGAAAGTCTTTTTAGGTAAACAAACAACCATTAGTAAACAAGCATGTCCTTCCTACCTTGCACAGGAAAGTTCCGACTATTCTCTTCAATGTTTGTTTTGATAAATCCAGCCGGCCAAATACGTCATAGTCAAAGTTGCATACAATCCCTATCCCCATACCTTTATTATGGTGTTAGGTACTTTCCCAAAAGGTTATTCCCAAGAGGTACTTAACTAAAGGCTTTTTTCCAAGATGCAAGTTTTCAACTCTGCAATTTCCCAAGTCTGTCCTAGCCGCATCGCTCGACCCTAGTCTCTTCTAGTCTAAGCTATTGGCCTAACCTAAATTTTGGGAAGTTGCCGCTTCGGAAATTGTCACTTGAGAATTCACCCTTGGGAAAATGCCTTTGGTAAAATACATAACACCTTTATTGTAGATACCTGGCAGTGTACAAAACATGTATGTACAGTATGTACCTGTGTACCGACTGCTGCACTGACTATCTGATTCACTACATCAACCGTCGGATGAACTAAATGATTAGAAATTAGAAAATATGTTAAAGAGTGGTCGGCGATTATATCAATACAATAAAAACGACTTTTTGCTAATAATTAATTGATCCCTAATAAGCATTTGTCTTAATTGACAACTTCTCTTTGTTTACATAAACATGTGTTTCTGCTTTAAATTAATGGTAGGAATCAAAATTGAAGTAGAAAGTCGTATTCATTGTATTTATCAATACTACGACGATAGGTTTTAAAAGTTGCAAAAAGATTTACTTACAGTGCACATGAAGCATTATCCTCTTTGATACAGGACTTGGGACACCATTACTAGCGATACAAAGATATGCTCCTATTTCCAAACCAAATTATATTTAATCCCAACCAAATATCAAATATAGTTCTAAATCAAACATCAATGAATCTCGCACCAATTATTAGATAGTTCCAAACCAAGTTACATTCCATTCAAATACAAATATCATATAATTCTAAACCAAATTCAATTAAATTCCAAACCAAATATCAATTAATTCCAAACCAAACTATATTCAATTCCAAACCAAATAGCGAATACTTTCAAACCAAATTGAAATATCAATTAATTTTAAGCAAAATATCAAATAATTCCATTTTATGCATACAATTTTACATTATAAATTGAATTTCATTACAAAAGATTAGACAAATTATCTGTATACAACAAAAACAGATCGACTACCCCCCCCCCCCCCCCCCCCAACTTCGTAATAATGCAATTTTAAATTTGTAAATTTGGTTTCCTGAATCCCCACGTGTAAGCTTCGTTAGACTGAGTTCTCTTCCTTCTACACTTGACACTAGGAATATATAATTTTTATTCAAAATAATCACAGAAAAAAATAAAAACTATGCCCTCGCTCTGGAACTTGTATTTTATATATACCATTAACAATAAATTCACAAAGAGAAAAAATCTTAAAAGTTTGATCTAAGTCCCAAATCCCAATGGCCGAGAGCATTTTTAAATCGGCCATAGAGAAAATGGTCAAAAAATATGTTTTTAATCAAAATAACATTTCATACATGCTTGGATCCCGTTGAATTTATAACAAATATGTTTATTTAAAAAGATATGTTTATTTAACGGTAAATAATTGAATTTCCGATCAATTTAACACATTTTAAATTTAACTTGTAAAGCTAGAGCAATTTCTGTACTAGGAGATAACTAATATAAATTTAAAGAAATAATCTATCGATTTTATATACATAATACCCAGTACAAACAAACATTTTAAATACGAAATCAAATATATGTTTTTAGTGCATCCATATACAATATACATATACATAATACCCAGTACAGATAAACATTTTAAATACGAAATCAAATATATGTTTTTTTGGAACTTTGTATCACAGTTTTCCATTTCCTAATGTACTCAGTCACTTATCCGAACCATGCTCTCAACTCAACCCAACATAATTCTCATTTTCACCTTCAACACAAACTAAATCAGCTTTTATACTAATAGAGCTGGGATATCTAGGCATGGAATTGATGGATTAGTTACATGAAATGGATAGATTAGTTACATAAAATGGATAGAATTTAGTTACGTGAAATGGATAGATTAGTAACATGAAATTGATAGATTAGTTACATGAAATTAATAGATTAGTTACATGAAATGGATAGATTAGTTACATGAAATTGATAGATTAGTTACATGAAATGGATAGATTAGTTAGATGAAATGAATGGTTTAGAGGAGGATGAGTAGAGATGAGAAAATGGAGAATGATCACGAAAGTAATGGAGAAAAATTAGTGGAATAGTGGAATTGACTAAATAGGGATGACATAAGAATAATGGAGATCCGATAGATTTGAAAATGCATATGCACAAGATCCATGATTCTTTAAATAGTCTGTGTGAATTTTGGAGATAATCCAATGAAATATAGAACGCTCTGTACATAAATTAATCAAAATAACAGATAGGACACTAGATGTCGTCATTTCAAGATTTGGATGAAACTCGTTTATAATAACCCTAAGGCAGAAGCCCAGAGGAGTTTCGCGCCATCTCTGTCTTACAATTCTACGCCGATTGAGCGAAACTCCTCCTGGATTCTGCCTCTGGGTTATTGTGAGCGATTTTCATTCAAATCTTGAAAAGACTACATCTAGTGCCCTATCTGTTATTTTTGTTAATCTATGGCTCTGTATTATTTAAAGACATTTATATGAAATAATAATAATTTGAAACCTTACTTCCGAGTGAAAGAACATGTTATTAAATAAAAAGAAATATAAAATATAAAAAGAATGAAGCAATAAGAGGAGAGTGGTAGACGAGCAACCTAATCCATTTCAGAAGTCTAGAAGGTTAGGTTATAGTAAACCTGGAAACCAGGAGACGTATACAACTGATTATACCAAACTTAATACAGGAAAATAAAACCAGGCTAGATAGGATATAAGAGCAGGGTACAGCGTAGAACAGAGAACATGATAGGCAGGAGAACATTACAGAGCTTGATAAAATAGGAGAACAGAAGAACATGATAAAGTAGGAGAACAGAAGATTATGATAAATTAGGAGAACAGACGAACATTATAAAGTAGGAGAACAGACGAACATGATAAAGCAGGAGAACAAAAGAAATATGATAAAGTAGGAGAACAGAAGAAAATTATAAAGTAATAGAAGTAGGTGAACAGAAGAACATAATAAGTCAGTAAAACAGAAGAACATGATAAAGTAGGAGAACAGAAGAACATAATGAAGTAGGAAACAGAAGAACATGATAAAGTAGAAGAACAGAAGAACATGATAAAGTAGGAGAACAGAATAACATGATAAAGTAGAAGAACAGAAGAACATGATGAAGTAGGAGAACAGACGAACATAATAAAGTAGAAGAACAGAAGAACATGATGAAGTAGGAGAACAGAAGAACATGATAAAGTAGGAGAAAAGAAGAACATGATAAAGTAGGAGAACAGAAGAAAGTGATGAAATAGGAGAACAGAAGAACATGATAAAGTAAGAGAAGAGAAGAGCAAGATAAAGTAGGTTGAAGGTTTACAGACAAAGTGAGAAGATCCGGGATAGATTTCATTACAGGACCGGAGAGAAATTCGGAAACTACGTGGAGAGAATTTTGTCTTCACTGCTCAATACATTTAAATAATCGTCCCGCAAATGTGTGCAAAATGTATGGTTTTGCAAATATCTGGAATATTTGCACAAGTTATCAAAAAAGACAGAACAGTAAAATTAATTTAAAGTCATTTTAACAACTTGGGAATTTGTTATTTTCGTGTTTTTACAAATTACAATATTAAGCGACTAGTAATTGATATATGTTTTTAATGGAGATAATCATTTTTGCCAATTTCCTTTTTTTCTAGCTATCTTTCTTCTCTTTATATTTAATTGTGTTTTGCATTAGCTGCATAGCCACCCCTCCCCCGGTACAAGGTGATCTCCGGGCTTAAACTATAACTCAGACAGGTTCAAGGTGATCTCCGGGCGTGAACTGCAACTCATCCAGGTTCAAAGTGATCTCCAGGCTTAAACTGTAATTCAGCCAGGTTCAAGGTGATCTCTGGGCTTAAACTGTAACTCAGCCAGGTTCTAGATGATCTCCGGGCTTAAACTATAACTCAGACAGGTTTAAGGTAATCTCTGGGTTTAATCTGTAACTCAGCCAGGTTCAAGGTGATCTCCGGGCTTAAACTATAACTCAGACAGGTTTAAGGTGATCTCCGGGCGTAAACTGTAACTCATCCAGGTTCAAAGTGATCTCCAGGCTTAAACTGTAACTCAGCCAGGTTCAAGGTGATCTCTGGGCTTAAACTGCAACTCAGGCAGGTATAAAGTGATCTACAGGCTTAAACTGTAACTCAGGCAGGTTCAAGGTGATCTTCGGGCTTAAACTGTAACTCAGTCAGGTTCAAGGTAATCTAGGAGTACCCCTCTAGGATTCCGACCATGTTTAAATACTCTCTTTTATATTTTTTATCAAAGAAGTGTTTTCAAAACTCAGAAAATGAAAAGTGTGAACATTGAGTAAAACAGAAGTTTAAAAAGAAATAAAAGTTTGAAGGTTTCAACATGCTCCGAGTGTTCAGAATTTTATTGAAACTTGTATTGCCTTCCCCTTATGAAGTAAGAAGTAAGTGTGAAGGAGGGATAGGGAAAGTTTAGGATTGGGAGGGGAGGGGTTTCCCTACAATATCTAAACCATTCATGTTCCCTGTCTCCAGTTCAGATTCTATTCTCCGATGAAACATTATTGCAAGAAACTTTGACAATAACTTTTTGCGTTCAATGACTGCAGGTTAAAAGTTAGAGTCTAGAAAAAGAGTTTTTAACAGTATCAGCATATTAATTAATTAAGACATACGCATGCGTAACATTTACGAGAGGGGAGGGGGGGGGGATCTCTGAGCACAATGTTGTATCATTACGTCTGTGAGCTCCACCAGTACCGTCTCTGAGTACATTATTGAATTATTACCTCTATGAACTCCACCTGTACCGTCTCTGAGTACAATATAGTAGTATTACCTCTATGAACTCCACCTATACCGCCTCTGAGTACAATATTGTATCATTACCTCTGTGCACTCCGCCTGTACCGTCTCTGAGTACAATATTCTCTTTATCCTCTCTTTTCCAGATCACTGTCGGCTCAGGGTATCCTCTATAGTACAGAATCTTAAACTTCTTTTTAATACTGGAGAAGTTACTTGGAGTTTCACTCTCATATATGATGAGAGACGTCTAAGACACTAATTTGGGAGTCTAACTTAAAAAGAATTTTGTAGATTCTTAGCATTGCTTTGTTGTAAAGATTAAATTTAGTGTAATTTATCTATTACAAACATTTAACCTTCAGAACTTGAAACTTAAAGAGTTTAAGCTGCATTAAATCTCATTTTTATCTCTATCTGTGTAGTGTATAATATGGAGAAATTAACTCACCTGGCTTCGCAGATTAGGTTTACATTAGCACTCTCCATAGTGATAGTATCATTAGAAGTTTCATTGTAAAGAATATCTGGGGCCTCAACCACCTAGAAATATCAGGTTTCATTATAGAGGATATCTGGGGCCTCAATTAACTACCTAGAAATATCAGGTTTCATTATAGAGGATATCTGGGGCCTCAATTAACTACCTAGAAATATCAGGTTTCATTACAGAGGATATCTGGGGCCTCAACTACCTAGGAATATCAGGTTTCATTACAGAGGATATCTGGGGCCTCAACTACCTAGAAATATCAGGTTTCATTATAGAGGATATCTGGGGCCTCAACTACCTAGGAATATCAGGTTTCATTATAGAGGATATCTGGGGCCTCAACTACCTAGGAATATCAGGTTTCATTACAGAGGATATCTGGGGTCTCAACTACCTAGGAATATCAGGTTTCATTATAGAGGATATCTCGGGATTTAACTAACTAGGATAGTATTAAAGAGGATATCTGGGGTCTCGACTAGATTGGTTTAGTTATATCCTGGATATCTTGAATTACCTCAAGCATCCCGATCTGACTGACCATAGGCTCCGTGTTGATCTGACACATGTAGTGCCCGGAGTCATTTCTTTGCACGTTGGAGATATGTAGCCTCCAGGTATTATGACCATTATGGCTCACAGTCATTCTAAACAAACGATTTTAAAATTTGACTGTGGTTGTGTAATGTGTAACCTTTGCATATTTATAGTCCACCATGTAGTTGTATATAAAGTGAACATGTGGTTATTAGTCACCTTGTGGTTGTGAATATAGTTAACCTGTGGTAATTAGTCACCGTGTGGTTTTGTATATAGTTAACTTGTGGTTATTAGTCACAATGTGGTTATGTATATAGTCAACCTCTGGTTATTACTCACTATATAGTTGTATATATAGAAAACCTGTGGTTATTAGTCCCCATGGTTATTAGTGAACATGTGGCAATTAATTACCATGTGGTTGTGTATATAGCTAACCTGTGATTAATAATCACCATGTGGTTGTGTAAATAATTAACCTGTGGTTATTAGTCACCATGTGTTTTTGTAAATAATTAACCTGTGGTTATTAGTCACCATGTGGTTGTGTATGGCAAGAATGGCTTTAGAATCTGATCTCAACCAAGCAACCTAAAAAGTAAATATTTATAATTTTTTTATATGTAAACTAAGATTTTTAGCTTTTTGATTCTTTTAATTAAACCGTGTATGCAGAATAGAGAATAGAATATATATTAAATAGGAATTTTAAGAATCTCTCGGTATAAATGTTTTCAGTCCCTTTCAGCCTGAATGTTCAAAGTGTACAAATCATGTAAATGTTCGCAAATTATATGCAGTAGAGTACATTAATACAGTATGTTCCCTAGACTATTCATTTCAATTTCGAATTTCGGACACATCATTACCTTGTGCCCGGACACATCATTACCTTGTGCCCCTGTAGTTTGTTGACAACACATGTGAAATGAGCATCTCTTCCTGCTGCAACTGTGATATTGTCAATCGGATAAATAAACTCGGGGGTGTCGCATTCTCCTAAAATTAGACATTTATTCATGCCCGTAGCTAGGAATTTTGAAAGGGGGAGGCACATAAGTTTTAAATAGTATAGATAGATAATTATTTTTTTTGTCCTGAAAAACCCTATAAGGGTGAAAATTTATGAATGTAGACTAAAAAATCTTTTAAAATTTTTAGCTTATAACACATTTTAGTTTATTAGCTACTTATCAAAACAAAAAACTGGAGGCATAAGATGTAGAGATTTGACTTAAATTAAACTTCAGTTTTCACAAAATTAAATTCGAAATAAAAAATTCCCCTGCAAGCTTGAGGATACAAACAGCTTCTCATAAACCTTACCATATTTTGTATGTAATTTAAATATGTCGATCCATGTTACTTTTTGTTATACGATGGTTCATTAGAATCATGAATCTAATAAACGAAGGGGAAAAGGATAAGCTTTTCAAAAAACAAAAAAAACGATTAAACCTTTCATTTCACAAGACAGGATAAAAATTAAAATTCTCAAATAATTTATTTCAGAAATCACTCAATTTTCCTTCAATTTGAAGGAAAAATAATCCTGTACACATAATTTTGGTAAGAAAATTAGATTTTATGCCAATTTTCTCCCCCTTTTCCCTTCCTTCTTTCTTTTTTCGTTTTCTTATTTTCCTTTTTTCATATTCTTCTATTTTGTATCGGAATGTGTGCCCCCCTTTCAGGGGTAAAAGGGAGACATGTGCCCCTGTGCCCCACCCCCTAGCTACGGGCCTGTATTTATTAACTTATTGTGCTATATTTAATTTGCATCTACCTAAAACTTTAAATAAAAGAATTTTCCCTCTTTTTGTGAAGATGTGCCTTTACCTTTCTCGACAAGATTAGATAATATGATTATCCAGGGCCCAATAAATAGCAGCCTGGAAATCCAGGGCCCCATAACAGCTGACATCTTGAGTTACAGCTGACACAAGATGGCGCCTTGAAGTTGTCAACAGGAGAAGATTGAAATAGCCCACCTGGGACCAACTACACCTGAAATATTTACATCAGATTTCTATCTAATGGATTCCAAAGGATTTATCAATAATGGATTTCACACATTTTATTTCTTTCCATCAGGAAATCTAAGAAAATAAATATCATATTGGAAATAATGGTTCGTTCATCTTCAGTCAAAAACAGCGTAGATACATAAAGGAGCTAATGTTGCATTTATTTGGATGCTATATCGTTCGCACTAATGTCCGATTGAACTCACGTACTTTTGCACTAAAGTCAGCTGATCAGTAACACTTGTGGCCGCAGTGCCTGTCCCCCTAGCCTGTCCTAGCCGCGGCGCTCGGCCCCCTAGCCTGTCCTAGTCGCAGTGTTCGGCCCAGAAATTGTCTTAACCTAACCTACAGGGGCGGATATAAGGATTCTGTAGGGGGGGGTAAAAAATTTTAATTTGGCGCGCGAAGCGCGCNATGCCGCAAAAACTTTTACTATCATGAAAATGCACTTGAGTGCAGACTAATCAATAGGGAATGCATTTTTTTTTGAAGTAAACTGTAACTTCTAGAGGCAGCAAGTGGAGTAACCCCTGCTATTCAGGACCTGAATATATGTTCAGGGGTAATTACCTCTAGGATTCTAGGGGGGGGTATTTCCCCCCAGGATTCTAGGGGGGGGTATTTACCCCCAGGATTCTAGGGGGGGGTAAATAACCCCAATAACCCCCCTTATATCCGCCACTGCTAACCTAACCTAACCCTTAAATAAAACGCTAGTCCGAATGAACGTTAGTGCGAATGTACGTTAGTCCGATCAATCATTAGTGCAAACGATACGACACCTTTATTTGAACGCACTTTTGACCTATTACATTAAATGCCATTTTAATAAAAAATTCATTTTATATAATTTGATAACTACACTGATTTACGTTTAAAGTATACATAAAAGTAGTTTACTGTTTCCTCCGATCCTTCGTACAGATTTATGTTATAAAACTATAATAATTATAGTATTTGTGAGAGAAGTATTGATGATATCATGGATTCTACCTATTCAAATTTCAAGTTTATTATAAGCTGACTTTGTCATGAAAAAGTTGTCCAATTTTTTAAACTGTTAAATTCAGGCTAGAGTTCTTATATATAAATCATAAAAAATTACTGAATACTCTATATTTATTGAAATATTTAATTAGTTTTACATATGTTTCGATAATATAAAAATGCAATGATACAAAGTTTCCAATTAAACTGTTAAATTCAGGCTAGTTCTTATCTTTAAATCATAAAAAATTACTGGATACTCTATTTATTAAAATATTTATTTTGTTTTACATATGTTTCGATAATATAACAATGCAATGACACAAAGTTTCCAATTAAAGTTAATTTTAACAATCCGTTTTTTTCTTTTTCCGTAAAATTGTAAAATTTGACTTTTCAAGGAATAAAAATAAGATGTGATTATTGATTTATTAGGTATGACTACTAAATATTGACTAAAATAAACTTCAGTGTCACAATTTAATGAATTTGTGCCGCGTTTTAAATCCGCCAAAAACCGGTTTTAATTGAGCGCCGGCTTAAATCTTGAAGCAATGACTACGATGTTAAGTATAACCAACCATATTTGAGCCGCCACTTCAATTTAAGCCGCGGCTCAAATTCTTTAATTTCGACCTCCGTTTTCATATCTGTAATATTCGAAAGTATTTTTTATGCGTATAGATATATATAGATCTATTCGTTATAAACCTGAGGTCGAATTTAAAGAATTTGAGCCGCGGCTTATATTTGAGACGTGGCTCAAAAGTGTTTGGTTCCACTTAAAATTGTATTTAAGATTTAAGCCGGCGCTCAATCGAAACCGGTTTTCGGTGGATTTGAGACGCGGCTCAAATTCATTAAATTCGGACTCTGTTTTCTTTTCTAAAAAAGTTTTTAACATGTATTTAAACAAAGGAAGCACTTTGTGTGTTTCCAAATAATCCTTCAAGAAGTCAAGCTAAAAAAATTTTAAAATAATTTTTATGACTTTGAATTATATAGAAAAAATTTACTTTTATGCTTTGAGAGAAAATTATTTTTTAAATTTTATTTTGTTATTTTGGAATCCCTGAAACCAAAGAAATATAATCCGCAAATGCTTCTACCCTATCTTCTTTAAACAAAGGAAAAATATTATTTTATTATTCTCAAATTCATGTTACATATAAGAGACAATCAAAATTTGCCATTTTTTACAATTTTTATTTCATTATCTTTTCCCTATTACATGCTCCAAAAACAGAATTAAAGATGGTCAATATCATGCGACATTAATGGTACGACTTTGTGACCGTAGCTTCTCTTGTTTTGATTAAACGCATAAGGTAGAGTAAAGTAAATTTATTTGATTTACATATTAGAATTCACACCTTTCTGTTCTTTTCAATACCTCCTTAAAAGGACTGTAAAGGAAAAATGAAAGGATTTATACTGTATAGGCTAAAACCTGAGAATCTCAGAAGTTGAACGACACCTATAAGTCATCTATCTAATGGTTCCTGTCTCGAGAAATTAATATAAAACTATGTCAAAGGAATTGAGTTTTGCCACAAACTAAAATCTTCTGATTCCAATAGCTTTGCAACCTTATGATGAAAATATTTGATATTTCAAACTTAGATTACTTTATCTGTAAGTATTGATAGTTTAAAATATCTAAGGTCTACGACATTGGGTTACAAAGATATAGAGATTAGAAAATCAGAGTTTGTGGCAAAAACTCAACTCCTTTATACGAAAATTCATATAAATGGAATTTTGTATAAAAGTTGTAATATTAAACAGATCATATTCAACAAATACGCAACCAATCTGAAAACGACGATATCCTACAGGATCATGAGAATCTCAGGTTTGCTCCTATTATAATTTTTGAATTTTTATTTTGCATTTTTAATAGAAATAAATGTTATTTCATGTAGACAATCCTTAATTATTGCAAATATTATTTATAATAATTTATCATTAATTATAATTATGTAAATTGATTAGTTATGGTAACTTTAAATCCAGATATTAGCTCATATAGCAAACGCTAAAGAATTGTGTAAATGAATCATTTTGTGCAATAAAATTATACACTTTAAAAAGGTAAAAAAAAAAACAGAAATAGTTTTAAAAATCTTTTATATTTGTTGAATATTTAGTAGAGTGCGAGTAAAGTTATTAAGATTTAACGTTTAGTATAAAAGGAATTGAGTCTTTGTCACAAACTCTGATTTTCTAATTCCTATATCTTTGCAGTCCAATGTTGTAGACATTTGACATTTCAAACTATGACTTCTGTTAGATCAAATAATATAAGTTTGAAATATTAAAGGTTTACGACATAGGGTTCAAAAGATATAGGGATTAGAAAATCAGAATTTGTGGCAAGGACTCAATTCCTTTGTTGTATTTATTCCACGTAAAAAGATAAGTGCATGGACATGTGTTTAAGTTTAAAAGTGATGAGTAGGTCATGGTCAAAGAATTTTTTATACCCTTCTCCTTATCTGGAAACATTACCTTCCTTTCTTGTATGTTAGTCTACCCTGGATAAACTGAAGAAGTATCCCGAACCTGGATGAACTGTTGATCTTCAAACTCTCTCCGGGTATACCAGGATCAAAACCAGGATCAGGCCTCGCATCTTCTTCACTGCATCCTCTTCCTGATATCCGATCCCCNCGAGCACCGCCAGTTTGCCGCCAAGTTTTCACCCTGACTCCGGGAGCTGTATCCCCGATGCAAACCTCTGATATTTAGAGTAACCGGAGCGTGCAACAACCAGTCCTTACACTAATTCCAATATATCATTCTATGAAAAGTTTTATTTTATAAAAAAAGTAAATATTGAAACATTCACTGAAACAATATGATGCATATGATTTGTTAAAAACATGTAAATATCAAAGATTTCTTGTAAACCGCCATACTTAATTTTTAAGTGGTTTGGTCAAGTAGACTGTGAAAAATGTTCAAATATTGAATTATGTTCAGTGTTTGAACATGATTTAAACAAACAGAGAAGTCAATTTGCACATAAAAATTCTTCCACGAGAAATTATTCCTTGATATTAATAACATACCAGACTCCTCTTTCAGACAACTATATATATGTAATATATATATATATAGCATAAATGTGTAATATATATAGACTGAGGATCGTCATGAGGCGTGAAACATTATGTTTAGTATAATTCTTTTTTTAATAAAATGTGAAGTTTAAAAACTGAAATATATATACATATATAGATGTATTGCAAAATGTATATTTAAGAATTTAACGAATGTTGATCACAAATTACAACTCGAATTATGAAACATATCAAAGGGACTGGAGAAGTAATTCCAAGTGACCCTCCATGAAGGTTAATTGCTAAAAAGTACGTCAGCCCCTTTAAGTTTTTAAATTTTTTATCAAAAAGATGTTTTTCAGCCATGCAGGGATGAAAAGTCTTGTTAGATAATCGTTATAAAGCATTATTAAAAATTGAATAAAACTATTTTATGTTAAAGTTTGCTTTGCTTTCATTAAACTTTTCAATATCTTTATCTTAAAAAAAAATAATAAACAATCCAAAAATAATCGTTAAAACACGTTTGTTTTTGCGTAGTTTTTTTTAACGGTTTTCTGGTAAATTTTCTATATATCGTCTGTCAGGGTTAAAGTTTTACATAGTGTTAGATAACTTTTGCTTTTCTTACACTGTGCCAAATTTTGAGCTTGAAATAAATGAATTAACTGAAAGCACATTACGGTGCAGCATTTGATATTTTATACTGACCGGCTAAACCCACAATTGAGACCAATAAGATCAATTGGGTTCAATCGTGTTGCGTTTATTATGAACAAAGCAGTTAAGTTTTCTGAAACAAACTTTGTCTTTGAAACCCAACATCGTAGACCTTAGATATTTAAAACTATTAATTATGTTACATAAATTAATACAAGTTGAAATGTCAAGGTTGCAAAGATATAGGGATTAGAAAATTTGAGTTTGTGTTGAAAACTCAAGTCCTTAACAAGATAATTATTTTGGTTATGATTAATCAGAGAGCGAAACTTATGTATTCGATAAAACTAGACTGTACTCTCAACCCACAATAAAAATTAAGATAAAAGATTGAAGTTTAAATCTGTTAAAATGTTATGATTCAAAAAAGTATTCTGCTTTCAAGATTAAACAGTCGTGAGGGATGAAAACCAACTTAGTGCGTAAAATCTACAAAAGAATCGAGTCTTAATCCAGAAACTCAAATTTTCTAATTCCTATATCCTATATTCCTTTAGATCTTTCAAACTTAGATTATTTGATCTAACAGAAGTCATATTTTGAAATATTAAAGAACAAGGGTTGCACGAGATATAATGATTAATAAATCAGAGTTTGTGGTAAAGGCCCAATTCCTAACTAAGAGAAGTAACAGTCACCCCTATGCTGTATAATGTTTCTCATGGGCGAAAACTGGTTTAAAGAAAGTAGGTGGCGAGGGTAAGGTTCAATCATGTGTCCGTTGTGAAAGAAATTGGAATGGAATAAATTGAGAGTT